CCTGACTCGGATCTGCGAGAACCACTTGCTGTCCTTGCTGCACACCATCACTCGCTCCAATCTGGTGCATCTGAACATCTGGACCTACTCCGGTCGGTGCGCCTGCTTCTGCTACGGTCTGACCTTGACCCGCAAGTTGGGCTTGTTGCTGAGCTTGCTGGGCTTGGTGGGCTGCCTGCTGCTGGGCAACGTGCATTGCTGCTGCCTGAGGATCCATTGTCGGAATGCTCGGACTTAGGGTGTGACCCCCAATAGGCCAACCTAACCCACAACCTGCACGCTGGGCTGACTCCTGCGAGTCACACACGCTGGCGGTTGGCTCAAGATCAATCACAGTCTCAAGAGAGGATCCCAAGGGACGATTGAACCGGGTCTCACCAACAGGTTGGTAGGGTGAGTCGCGCAGATGGTGGATGTGGCTCTGGATTCCATTCCTGCCGCAGCGCCGCCATTCGTGAAAGACCGCCTCGGCTCCTTGGTGCAGGGTCCGGCGCGGAAGGAGCGCAAGTACTTGGCGACATTCCGCCGCAGATGGAATGCAAGGTACGGGTGCTTGCGCACGGAAGATGTAGTTGATGTTCCAGAACGCAGGCACAAGGCCAGTGGGGACTGGGACTACGCTAGGTCCGCTGCCGATATGTGTACTCTTCAGAAGCATTGTGGCATGTATGGGTTTGCAGCAGGGTGGTTTCTAGCTTTCATTGATGTCGCTCACATCCTGTCGCATCCTGCTGACTAGTGATGTTTGCGATTGTGACTGCCCTGAGCTTGGAAACCCAGAGAAATGATACTGTCTGCGTCCCACAATCTAGACTCGCCTGGCGAACCCGTTTTCGGTGCTGCCTATACCTAGCCGAAAGGGCAAAGCTGTTTTTAAGCTCGTTGAGCGGGCCTGAAATCTAGCTTTCGAAAGGGAAGCGTGTGCGCCCTGCACAGGCAACCGTTTTGCATCAGTGGATGAATCAGATATGGAGGGACGCCACCAAGCCCGTGCTGGTGGTGAACATGGACGAAACCTCGGTGGTGCGGCATCCAACTGGTATCTGGGGAACTGTCTTGAAAGGCCCGACGAACAAGCCGCGGCTGGGCCGTGCGACGCTCTCGGAACGTCGTGGCTGCATAACGTTTCTGGCAACCATCTGCCAGGACCCTGCCATTCAGAGCAAGCTACCGCAGGTTCTCTTGACAAATGAACATCAAGTCAGCCTTGGAGTTCTCCGCCGCTTGCGAGCTTCAGGTTCGCTCCCTGCCAGCATCCACATCTGGCGAGAAAAGTCAGCCTGGACGACTCACGGTATCATGAGACGATACCTGAGCGTCTTGGCTCAGTCTCTGGGAGAGACGGTGGCCGAGCGGACGGTTGTCGTCCTGGTTGACGTCAACAGGGCACATGTAGACCACTCGATCCTGTTGCACGCGAGACGGCTTTCACTTCGAATGTGCTTTGTGCCGGCCAGAACTACCAGATGGTTGCAGCCAGCTGACACTTCCTTGTTCAGTCGATACAAGGCGGCAGTTCGTCGCATTTGGAGAGAGTACAAAGCTCGGCTGCCCATGGGCATTGTCTCCCAGCACCAGTGGCTGTGCATTGTCTGTGCCGCGATTGACGCTGTTTTGCCGACGACCAACTGGCGTGGAGCATTTGACGCTGTTGGGTTGCTGGGGAACCAAGACGCCATGTCACAAAGACTATGTCAAGAGCTGGGCCTGGACATGCCCCCGCAAACCCCGCGTGGACTGCCAAGCACTGAGGACGCCGCCATAGTGTTCCCTGGTCGTATGAAAGTGGATGTGCTGACTTGGGTACATTTTCTACCGAAGTCAGCTTTGAAGTCTCCCACCTCTGCAAAAGCCTCAGCTTCGGCACGGTCGGCGGCTTCGTCCTCGACTGCAGTCGGGAGTGTTGTTGCTCCGAAGCGCCTGGCGCTGCCGGCTGCTTCTGAAGCGGTTCACTGGTTTCGTGGACGCCCAGTCCGGGAGCTGCGTTGATACGCAGCACCACGCAAGAGCGTCAGAAAAGACTCAAATACGGACCCGGCACAACTTGACACCGAGCTGCGCGGTGGGTTTCGAAAGTGTAGGGTTTAGGGTTTAGGAAATCAAGTCCCTGTCGGAGACTGGAGACATGGGGACCAATGCAAGACTTAACAGGGTTCAAGGTTTGGGGTAATGGTACGTTTACGGTTTCCTCCCTGTGGTTCGTGCTGAGTTTACGGTTCATGGAGGAGGGGGTCGATTACGCGGAACGCGGACGCATAAAAAACCGCCAAAGAATCGGATTCCCTTAGAAGGACCCCCATACCCTGCACCCTATAAACCCTCCCCTCCCTCCCTCTCACCCACCCTCCCACCCACCCTCCCACCCACCTCCCACCCCTCCACCCACCCCCCACCCCCTCCACCACCTCCACCCACCACCCAACCACCACCAACCCCCCGGTGCGTCGGATTTTTTTTGGAGGATTTTGGAAAAGCCATGTGTTTTGGTACATCCCTCTGTTTGCACTTTTGACAGGTGGGGCATTCAGAATTTCTTTCGCCAATCTGAAACTTCCCACTTTGTGTAATTTTTTGTCGTCATTGTTTTACTGTGTTTTCATACTTCCAGTTTTTCACTCACATCTCAATCAGTCATGTGCTTTCATCCGCACTGCAGGCATCATTTTGTTTGAAAAATCTTCGCATAGAGAAAGAGAAAAACCATAAATTTCACCTTTTTGTTTCTTGGAAAGAGCAGAAAAAATTGGAGATTTGCTCAATTTCGTTTGTTCATGTTCGAATACAAGGAGCGAAGAGTCTCAATGAGTATGTGGCGATGGGCCAAGACAACTCTCGCCGTTTTGATGGCTGTCCTTGTTTCGGCTGCGGTTTGCACACACCTGCGTTCAGTGACACGCGGAGCTGAGCCGAGAAACCATGTTTTGTTTTGGTCATGCTTCCACACAAGCTTTTCCGGCTCAAAAAAGCGGAAGGTGGGGGGGGGCAGAACCCTCCACAAAAGGCCCAGGAAGGATTGCGCTTCTTCAACTTCTGCCAAAGCTTCCAGAAAAGGCTCAGCAAGTGTTCAGTCTTTAAAACTGCTGCCTAAAAGCCTCCACAGAAGGCCCAGCAAGTGTTACGCTTCCTATACTGCTGCTCAAACCCTTCAGAAAAAGCCCCTAGGCCTTAGCCTTTTGTGCAGAAGGCCCAGCACATATCTTCAGGCAGCCCCCTTGAAGAGACCCTTGAAGCCCCCTTTGAAGCCCCCTTGAAGCCCCCTTCAAGCCCCCTTCAAGGGTCCGACCCTTCTGAAGGGGGAAAGCCCCCCCTTTAAGCCCCGAGTGCGGGCCCAGCCCTGGAAAATGACTTGCCTGCTGTGGTCCAACCCATGGCTTCATGTTTTTTTTTGGTTTGACTCATTCTGCATGAAAAGGAAAGAAACTTCTTTCTTTTGCGCCAGAGGGGTTGGGCCATCGGGAAAATACGTTAGGCCATAGGTGAGGCCATAGGTTAGGCCATAGGTTAGGCCATCGGTTATTCCATAGGCCATAGGTTTGACCATAGGCGATGAATTAGGCCATAGGGAAAAACGACGTCAGCTCTTTCCGCTTCGAGGGCTTCCAAACTGTAATTTTTCCATGGCCTAATTCACCAAAACCTATGGCCTGACAATAGCCTACGAATGTATTTTCCCTGTGGTCTAACGGTCTAACTCATTTGCATGAAAAGGATTGGGCCATTGTGTACCTTCCCTTCTTGGTACCTCACCGTGTCGGTCGGTAACTCTGCTGTCCTTCTTCGATTTACAGCTTTCCGTGCTGGCCTTCTTTGCACCAGTGGCTACATGATGGTGGTTTTGATGATCTGCCCTCGCATTTTGCGACCCCCTCGTATGCTCTGCGCTGCTCGATTACACCTGGATTTCTGCGACGACTTCGAGTACTGAGCGCGGGGGACACGTAGACGTTTGGTGCTCTGATCTTGCGGGTTGCTGCTGGTTGGTGGTTGTGTTTTGTGGTTGTTTTGGTGTGTGTTTGCTTTGGTTTTCGCACCTGTCTGTTTCACCTCTAGTGTTGAGATCCCTAAGAACGGCCTACTGCGCTGCTGATGTAGTAAAAGAGGCATCGATCCAAAAAAAATTCATTTGCATGAAAAGGAGAGAAAACTTCTGTCTAAGTCTGGACCCTCACAGTACTCCAGCACTTGTGGCCTGGCGCACCACTGCTGAGACTCTGTGGGGTAAGGGGTGTGCTAGATCAAGTCAGGATAACTTGCAGCCAGCCCGGTCTCAAGGAGGCTTCAAATTTTTTGGAGCCATGGGCGGTTGGGCTTGTGAATTCCGAGCGGCTGTTTTTTTTCGTCTTGCGGCCTAGAGCATTCCACTTTTGAATTCTGCGTTCGGACATTTTCGGAACTCGGACATGGTCGGATGGGCGGCGTGCATTCCGAACGGTTGGTTTTTCTGAGCCTAAAGCATTCCAAAGAGATGTTGAGTTCTTGGTTCGGACATGGTCGGACGGGCCTGTGAAGTCGGTTCCGAGCGGCTGACTCTTTCGCAGCCTAGACGTTTCCAAAGTTGTGTAGACGCGGACATGCCACAGAGATTGCTTCTTCAGCCGAACATGAAATGACGATGTAAAAACTGCAAAGCCTTCATCTGACGTGTTTTGGCTGTTTTGATAAGCTACGGCCTTGTCACAAATCCCAAAATCAAATTGCTTCCGGATGCATCCTTGAACTGGCGCTACCGTGTCCTTTGGCGACCTCGGGACCACATGTGCGCGCATTACCATGGGTGATGATAGCCGTGGCAGGCAAGGACAAAAATGTTTCAAAACCTGAAGCCTTGAACGCTCTGAGCCCGAAGCAGACAGTGCTCAAACCGCAACTGTGGAGGTGAAATAACCCTCTTGGCCATAAGCCCTAACCCACAACTCAGCCTCCGATCCGAGACGCCCGCATATGCCCCCCCAAAATCGCGAAACCCACTAACCCTCCCCCCAAGCCCGGTACGGGCGCGCATGCGCATGCGCTTGTTGCAGCCATCGAGCTGCGCCGACGACGATGGACGAATTCAGAGGTGTGATGGATTTGGGATTTTATGATTGGCCTGTGGCTTAGAGCTTTAAATCCCGGAAGATGCTTTGTGGGTAGGATATGGTAGGATGTCGTGACTCTCGGCGCATCACCTTCCACGCCCAAACAAGTTTCACTACCACTTTTCGAGTTTGGGCTTGGGTGAATCCTCATCCCCTCTCCCTACTTCGTATGAAATCCCCCCCCCCTTTTGGGGGATCAAAGGGGATTGGACCCCGAGAAGGCACGTACCCGCAGCCTGCGGGAGTTGGGGGCCGTGCGGCTGTGGAGAAAAGCCCTCGAGGCGATCCAGGCTGGCCTTGCAAGCTTGGGCTTCGGATTTTTCGTGGTCCTTATGGGGGGGACTATGTTGTTTTTCGCCCAGATTTTGCGAGCATTTTTGGTTTCTTTGTTGTTCTATCAGGTTTTTTTTTGCAGGGTTTATGTTTTTGTAAGGTTTTTGGTGTTCACGGGTTGGGGCTCAGGCGGGGTTTAAACTTGCACGCTTGGGGTTGGGGGTGTGGCCCCGGCGTCTCTCAATGTATATAAAACCTGCCGTGAGGGTTCTGGGCCGCACTATACGGGAACCCTAAAGCTCAAACCCTAATTACACCTCCAATCCCCACACCCCCAACCCAAAAGCCTGCACAGAGCCAGGGTACCCGAGTTGATTTATGAGCTGTGCGTGTATGTATTCAAGAGCAAGGGAAGGTGGCCCTCCAAACCCACGCAACGATATCATGCAGGGCAACCGGTAATATGGTTGTTAATCTGTAGGGTCGCGGGGCATCGCGAAGCCCCAAAATTCTCAGCCCCCACAACCCCTGAATTTTCCACGTGCCGAAGCCCTGAACCCAAGACCCTTAGCCATGGTGCTCTCTCAGGCGTTTCGTCATGACGCGGTGGAAGTCAATGCCATCCACCGGAATGCTTTGCTCGGTGCGCTGGCTGGGTGAACCCTGAACCGTTGCACCCCCCTCACACCTATACAGCCATACTTAGAGGCACACACACACACAGTTATAAGAGGGCCATTAGCCTTACATTACAGCGTTAATTCCTATGTATCACAATTCGCGAACTTTCAAGCAGAGTTCTTGGTACCATCCCAAGCCCAGAAGGACCTGCACGCCGAGAACTTTTTTTTGGGGGGTTAAGAATTTAGGGTAGGCCGAAGGCGTTTCAAAACAAGTATCAATCCAACAGTTCGTTTGTCTTACGTCGGACCGACTGACAGCGCATCTGGGTAAATTCACCGGGCCCCGTTACATGCAAGGCGACCCCCAATATGAAAATCATCATAACAGGTAGAGACACACGCGAATATTATCAGGGAAGGTCTGTTACTTTAGCTTTGCGTGATCGGGAAACTACTGTTTTGCTCAACATTGGTTATTTGACTGATGCGTTTGCATACATATCATTCAGTTTTTCACCAGCATCATCCGAAACAAGCAGCAAGCATAATTACTAAGCAACTTGGCCATGCTAGAAGCTCAACACCTCCCAAGGCCCAGAGACCCTGTGTCGGCTTGACCCTTAAACCTAAACCGAAGACCTACACCCAGGTGTTTTCCAGAAGTCTCAGCAGTGGTTGCGCGCGCTGCAGGAGCTTTCGGACAGGTCGGGCCCTTGGGCTTGGGAGGCTTTTTTGGGCCGTTGATTCAAGGCTTGTTAGAATCGCTGCTTAGGGTTTGAGGGTTTGACAGTTTAGGATGCAGAGGTTCAGGGCCGTTTGGTGAGGCTGCCGCAGAAAACAACAACAATTATTTGAGCCCTGTTTTTTTCAACCAACGTTCCTGTATGGATATTTTTGACAACCGAGCTCCTCACCTAGAACAACACCAGGTAGCGGTACTATGGCGCTTGGTTTAGGCCGCCGGTTTCTATTTCGGGGAGACTACTGGCACTGAAATGTGCTTGCGGCCGTCGGCACCTGCTTCTTTGCCCAGGCTTCCTGCGGGGCAGGTCTCGACCGATGTCATATCTTTCAGCACGGCTGCAGCCACCTGTCCCGGATGGCTTATGCCTCTCTTCTTCCTGGAATGGAAACTCGGCTTGCGACCTGGGGCGCGCTTGCTCACCCGCTTAAGGCTTGGGCTTGCTTGTTTGCATCCTTACCATCCGACTTCGAAGCTTGGGGGGCGTTGCTTTGAGGGCTTCGGGAGTAGGGAAACCCAAGGCTTGGGCTCAACGACATGCAACCTAACAAAGGCCAGCTTGTGGTTCCCGTAGAATCCTGGACAGGGCAACTCCCGAGAACCTCAGACTCCACCCCACACCCAACTCAGGATGACGACCAGCGCTTGCCGCCCCAATGTCGCGCCCGGGGCCGCACGAGTCGAGCAGAAGAGCCGCCCCCTTTAGCCAAGGTGGCCCTGGATCCTTCTTGAAGGTTCATGGGTGGGAGGTAGGGTCGTGAGCACCTTGACATACGTGTCGTCAAAAAGGGCTTCGCCTCTGGTGGCCCATCCGAAGCTGCCGCAAGGACCCTCAAGCGCTCCCCAAGCCTTCGTGCCCATGGCCCCGACGCGCCCATCCAGATTCCAGGTCTCCTTCAGCTCCAGCCAGGCTGCTTTCAAGGACAGGGTTTTTGGGTTTTTGGGTTTTTGGGTTTTTGGGTTTTTGGGTTTTGGGGTTTTGGGGTTTTGGGTTTTGGGTTTTTGGGGGGTTTACGATATTAGGGGTTCTTGGGGCCTGATTCTAAGGGATCCTAACCATATGGGGGTCTATATTCGGGGTCCCTTATTATCGTGAACCATATTATATTTTGTGTTGTTGGGGGGAGGGGCAAACAGTGTTCCGAAGATCTTTCGTAGGATGGTTTTCATGAGAGTTTATGGGTGTTGTAGGGATTCTAGAGCAACTTTTACGTCGAGCCCTCAAAGCCGCAACCAAAGCTCTCACAAACGAGGGGGGTTGCAGGTTGCGTGCAGGCCGCATTCCCTCCGTTTGGCACGTTGACGCGTCTCCCCCAGTTCCGGCAGCAAAGCCCTCTTCCTCGAGCACTCAAAGCTTCAAAGCCTCACAGGCCCTGACAGCCCCAAGACTATCCCAAGACTACTAGCAACCGGAAGACTCCTTCGCTGCTCTCAAAGAGCCCATGCAAAACTCCCAAAGCCTCCCCAACCCTCCTAGTCACCTTACACCTGAATTCGCGCCGTTTCGCACGACAGCACATCCGCCAAAGGATGGTGGTGGCTGGCCTCGTGCGCTTTCCCTTCTCCGTGCCATGCTGCCCGGGCGGCAAAGCAAGCCTGACGTAGATGGGGGGGCTTCCTGGTGCTGATGAAAAGGGAGCTCTACCATTTTGGGGGTCCATATCAAGGGTCCCCTATCTTCGTCAACCCACAACTGGGTTTTGGGGGGGCTCAGGGTGTAGGACTCAGGCTTCGGGATTGCGGTTCGGGGAAGAAGACGCAAAGGCAGCCGACAAGCCTTGGCGCGCGTTGAGAACCCAAGAAACCGTAGACCCAGGCCTTGAACTCCGAACTTTCACCCTGGAGCAACTTTCAGACCTGACGATGCTGAAACCTCGGTTAAACCGCTTCAAGGCCCCAGATGCACGGAGTGGTGCCGAACGTGGTGTCCCTGTCCTGTGCCTTGAAGGTGCGCAGCGCTGGCCTCTTCTTCTTCTTCTTCTTCTTCTTCTTCTTCTTCTTCTTCTTCTTCTTAATTTTAATAATAAGTATTATGATTGTTGCTGTATTAAGTGTTTTTATCATTATTTTTATTACTGGTATTATTATCACTATTATTATTACAACTATTGTCATTTTTTATAACTGGTATTATGTTTACTATTTTGATTACTACTATTATTACTGCTATTATCATTACTACTTGTATTATTGTTATAAGAGTAATGATAAGTATCCAGTAGTAGTAATAGTAATAGTACTATTACTACTACTATTGTTATCATTATTGTTATTACTGCTATTATTATTATTGTTGGTAATACTATAACTTCTTCTTCTCATTGTTGTTATTGTTTTTGTTATTGTAATGGTTATGGTTATGGTTATTGTCATTGTCATTGTCATTGTTATTGTTATTGTTACTGTTACTGTTACTGTTATTGTTATTGTTATTGCTATTGTCATTGTTATTGTCATTGTTTGACATTGTCATTGTCATTTACTATTGTCATCATCTCTATGACAACTGTTATTTTGTGTCTTATTATTATTATTATTATTGTTATTATGATGAGTATGATTATGACTATGATTGCGATTATGATTCTGCATGATAGTTTTTTATGGGGTTTAGTGATTTAGGCCTCGGGGGGGAGGGCTCTGCTTTTTGTCCTTGGGGTCGGAGTTGTTCAGCACAGAGGCCGTCGCCAGATATAAGGTGCCATAAAGGGATCACGATTTAGAGTACTGACCATGAGGGGTGAGCGATTCCAACCCCTGAGACCCTGAAACCTCACAGCCGCAAGCCTTGAACATGTGCTGGACATGTGTAAGCCCCAAAAATACTTTCCAAAGCCCAAGTGTTGGGGTTGTCTTCACGAAGCCCCGCCTCTCCTTGATGGGAGGCTTTCAGCACTTTACAAATGGCACCTCAACATGCTCTCTGTGCTGAAGTCCCACACCGTGTGTCGTTAACCCCCCCCGCCGCCCCCCCTTGTCAGCGAGGCCTGTGCTGCGGGCGGCCGTTGGCGCCAGGCAGAACTCTGATTTAAGTCGGAGCATACAGGTCAGGGCCCACTTTTGGAAGCTTCCAGTCAACCCCAGGCCGCAGAGCTTGAAGTGCTGCCAGGAGGGGGTTTGGGGGTCAAGGTTCAGGGGTTTGATGAGACCTCAGGGCGCATTCCGTCTCGCATGCTCCAAGAGGAAACCGCCCCCGAGCCCTAGGCCACCCTAAACCCCCTAAACCTGAGCCCTGAACCCCCTGAAGTTGGAGGCCCTGCAGCTCTTAGCAGGGGCGCCGGCAAGGGCGCTGGTTCCCAACGTCGTGGCGTGCAACGCCGCGCTTCGGCTGGCCTTTTGGGGTGGCCAGGGCTGGGGATCTTCCGGGTGCGGACTGGAGCATGGGAGGCTGTCCTTTGCTGGTGTGCCTTGCTCCCTTAAGAACCGTGCTTGGAGGTCCTTTTCGTGAAGTTCATCATTAAGGAATTATACCCCTCTACAGGACTCTACAGAGCCCTGCAGAGGTCCATGGCGCAGGTTGCCTTCATCCATGTTTTTAAGCGGTTTTTGGATGGTTTTGGCTTCATGTTTACATGTTTAGGAGGTCCTCCGCCTCTCCCCACAGAAAGCTCCAAGCGATCTGGAGGGGAGCGCCTCGCCACGCCGAGGCGCAGAGTGCCTGTGCGACGACGGCCCTTTGGGCCTTGGCTCTCTCCACACAGGCCGATGGTAGGATCTCAGAAAGCGTTGGGTTCAGGCTTAGGGGCTTAAGGAGGTTTAGGTCTCCCTTTGTTGGGTGGCAGCGTTGCGTAGCTAAACCGGTGAGCAGTGCGACGTGCAGGCTTCCACAAACCGAGATCTTTGGGATCTCGTGAGTTTCAACACGGCCATGGATGCCTGCGACAAGGCGTGGGTTTTGGAGGTTCCTCGTGCTTCCTCCGGCACTGCACCACACCGAAAGCGAGGCTCTTTCACCCTCAGCCCCCAAAGACGTCTTTATGACCCCGATGACCCTTATGCCCTCTTTGGTTCTAACTTTCCCAGTGTCGTCCCAGTGCAAGAGGGTCCCGAGGAGCAGCTTTGGAACTCAACGTGTTTAAATGTGAGGATGTCTTTTCGCTTTCAATTTGTTTGCTCTCTCTCTCCCTCTCTCTCTCCCTCTCTCTCTCCCTCTCTCTCTCCCTCTCTCTCTCCCTCTCTCTCTCCCTCTCTCTCTGCCCCTCTCTCTCCCCCTCCCCTCCCTCTCCATCTCTTTCGCTCTTGCACGTTCTTTCGCGCAGAGCGCAGAGCGAGAACGGGAGAGAAACATATAGAACGCACGCAAAGGGCCCTATAAACTCGACCTGTTTTTGAGCTCCACAGGCCCGACGATGGGAATGTGCCGTGGAAGTGCTGCAGAGACCTGTCGCGCGGTTTGGGGTTTTAGGGTTGTACAGGGCATCGGATTTTAGGGCAAGGCAAACCCTAGCCCAAAACTCAAACCTTCGGGGCGACTCACCGGCGTCGTCTACCTGAGGGAGCAATTAGTCTAACAAGACATACACACCCAAGGGGTGGGTGTGCCGGTATATGTTGTTTCAGGTTTTCAGTGGTTGCAAGTTTAGGCTTATGTGGTCCGTTTGGTGGAGCTTTGGGGTTCAGGATGGGGCTTTTGGCGGCTTAGCGTTCAGTTTTTTTTTTATTTTTTCAGGGGTTTAGGGTGGTGTTGATATTCGGGGTTTCAGGGTTTTGGGGTTCGGGGTTCCGTGTGTGGGGTTTGGGGCTCAAAAGCACCCCGAGCCCCCTTAGACACGTCCAAAACCCTAAGCCCTGAAACTCAACCCCACCCTCAATTCCCAACCTTTCCCAAGCTCCAAACCTTTTCGAAGCCTTGCGCTTCAAGCCCTGAACCGCCGGCTAAACCTCATCTAAACCTCGACTAGGGCCTGCAGGGATTTCCAAGGGCAACTGAAAAGACCGTGCGCTAACAGCTGTGGGTTCTCCGTGCGCACGGACTTGCCCCCTTAAGGAGTGCGTCGGGCACCTCGCATGTGCCCGATGTGGCGCGGCGCTCTGATAGTTATGGACTTCGGGGGGGCTAGGCCCAGTGCTTTTTCTCGAGGGCTGTGTAGGGATGCATAAGAAGGGTTTTGGCTACAGGGCTTGAACGGGTTTTTTGACGGGTTTATGTCGGGGTTGAGCTAGGGTGCTGCAGAATTAGGCTGCTCAAGCTTCAGGGTGATCTTTTGAAGGTGGGTGTGTGTGTGTGTGTGTGGGTGGTTGAGGGTTGAGGGCTGAGACAGGCCTATCAACAGCCCTCCACATTCAGGGAGTATCAAGGCGGGCTCAGGGCTTTTGCCTTACAAGGCTGAATAGTTGGGGGCGGCTGAGGGCTTGTGGGATTTCAGATGTCTTTGGGTTTGTAGGCTTTGGGTCCTGGGTTTGGAGTTTGGGGCTTGGGGTGTTTCCAAAGATGGGGATCCCCCTTTCTCCCTTTAAAAAGCTCACGAGGAGACTGCCTTGCAAGTGCAAAGAGGGGGGAGGGACAGTCTAGTAGCCTTACCAGCACTCCCAGGTTCCCGACATCTTGACCTTCCATAAACACTTCGAGGGCCGATGCAACCCACAACCCTCAGCTCCGAAAACCTTGGCACCAGCTTAGCCATTCGCAGCTGTGGCGGCTCGCAAAGAGCTCAAATCGTCGAGTCCTCCCAGCTCCATTTGCCCTCCCCAAATGGCGCAGCGCCCAAGTGGCCTTGCCCTGGCCGGCGCCGCAGCAGGCGCTGCAGGGAAGTTTCGGCTTTTTGCGGGTTCAGGTTTTCTTTGGAATTCACGCTCCTTAGGCCTTAGGCACTTTAAGGGGCAGGAGTCTTTTCCGCCCGACGAGGGCTTGTGCCCCTACAAGGACATACCACCTACACACACCTGATCCGACCGCTAGTGCCTAAAGCCCTAAACCCTATAAACAACCCTCATGAACCCTCATGAACCCTTCTGAACCCTTATGAACCGTTATGAAACCTTATGAGCCCTGATGAGCCATTATGAACCTGTCTGAACGCTTATGAACCCTCCTAAACCCTAAGCCCTAAACCCTAAGCCTTAAGCCTTGAGCCCTAAGCCCTAAGCCCTAAGCCTTAAGCCCTAAGCCCTAGACCCTATGCCCTAAACCCTAAACCCTAAGCTCTAAACCCTAAACCCGACACCCGAAACCCTAAACCCTAAACCCTAAACCCTAAACCCTACACCGAGGCGGCCTCGCGCTCCTGGGCGCAGCCTCCGATGCCTTCGTGGCCCCACGCGCCGGGGCGTCTGCGCCCTCTGGCCGAAGGTTTGTTGGCGATTTTTGGAGTTTTTGGGGGTGGGTTCCAGGGCTTCAAGGTCTGAAGGTTGAGGGTTGGGTGTTAGCATTTGGGGGAGTGAGGGTCCAGGAGTTCAAGTTTTGGATATAGGGGGTTCATGCTGAGGGGTTTGGATGGTCTTTCGGGGCTTGGAGGGTCAACCCCGGGCTGTTCAAACAAAAAGTCGGGCTGGGGGAGGTTCTCCCCTCTGGGTATCAGTCCTGGGGTGCCAGAAGGATGGAGATGAGCTAAACCCTAGGCCCTACACTCTAAACCTTAAACCCTAAACTAAACCTTAAACTCCATAACGATCCCTTTGTTGATGCATGCCCCACCACTCCCACCTAAACTCGGGTGGCGCTGCTGCTTCGTGAGTGAAGAGAGGGCGGGGTGGCTTTCTCAGACTACGCCGGCCGCTCTGCGGACTTCTCGCTCTGGGCTGAAACTTCTGACTCGAGGGCCGCTTCTGTGCAGATGCGATGCCGTCGGGCGTGGCCATCCCAGCATTCCTCAGGACAATGTTGGGCAACGTCTTGGACGGCCAGTTCGACATGTCCTTGTCAACTAACCCGACTCTACAAGGCCCTCAACCCTAAGCCCTTCAGTCCCTTCAACATCCCAAACCCCCCCCTTTTCAAAACCCCCAAACCCCTCCCCCCCCCACCAAAGCACGAGCTGTCCCAACGCCCAAATCCCCCAAAGCCCAGGGCTCCTAGCCAGCTTCGCGGATCGTCGTCTGCGCAGGCTCCCCTTCCAGTTCTGGGTTCTGGGAGGTTTCAAGGCTAGAGGCCGATTTTGGGGGTAACGCGCTTTGGGGGTCTTTGGGGTTCCGCCTTCTGCACGTTGGGTTTACGGTGTGGGGTTTGGGGGTTCAACTTCGGCTGAGCCCTAAACCTCACACCCTACTTGAAGCTTCATGGGTAGTTATAAGTAGGGGTACAAGTAGTACCCCAAAAAAAGGTTACACCAGTAAAAAGTATAGTTGCTCCACTAAAAGCCCCACTTGAAAGCTTCCCATGAACCTCCAAGTACTTGCGGGGGGTCTCCAGACTTGGCTTGTGGTCTCTTCTTCGGAGTTTCGGGCTTTCGCCTGATGCATCAAACGGGCCTGGCTGACAGCTTCACCTTTCTAAGCCCTCCCCCTGAAAAGCCATGGCTACATGTCCTTGTAAACCCTCAGCCCGCAACCCTAAACCTCAAACCCGTAAACCGTATAAACCCTAAACCCGGAACCCTAAACCCTAAACCCTAAACCCTAAACCCTAAACCCTAAACCCTAAACCCTAAACCCGAAACCCTGAACCCTAAACCCTAAACCCTAAACCCCAAAAGGCCGGAAGCGCTGCCGGCTCTTCGCTGCCTGGCCTGGCTGCCGGCGGCGCCGTGGTGGCGGCAGCCGTGGCCGCGGGGCGCCAAGGCCTCCGCCACAGCGACAGCGGAGTAAAAAGCCCTATAAGCCCTCACCTCTGAGCAGGGCGATGCAGATTTTTTCTGCACAACTTACTCGTGAAGACTCATGACCTCCGGACATGCTTCTTGTGCTCTGAACCCTCAGCACCCTAAACTTCAACCAGTGGCACGCAAGTTGACTCTTTCAGGCCAGGAAGGCCCAGGTTTGCTTCTGGCCTTCTGTCAACAACGCAGGACGCCAGTCGCGAAGCTCCGTCCTTCCTACGACGGTGGTGCCCGTGAAGGAAAGCGGGCTCGGGGCCTTAGACGACCCCCCTGTAAGCCCCAAAAGCCCCAAAAGCCCTGACCCTCCTGGAACCCGCTGAGACCTATGGCCCTTCAACCTTGCCTCAAACTGAATCCGGTCCTGAGCCACAAGTTTCCATTGGACCCAAGTCCTCCTGAAGCTCCGTGTCAGCTTCTCAAGACCTGTTTGTTTGTGTTTTGCCGTTCTGTGCGGCAAACAGGACAGCCGGGTGACGCGCAAGGCACTGGACCAATCCAGCCGCTATGCCGACCTCTCTCTTGATGAGGCGACCCTGATCAAGCCGCCTAGTCTGCAGACTGCGGATTTTCAGGCTCGATAGCAGGTTCATGGCAGCAGACACAGACGACCGTCTCAAACACAATGTGAAGCTCAGGAACGGCAAGCACGTGCTGGTGGCATACATCATGAAGCCGAAGGCAGGGTACGACTACCTGGCCACCGCCGCCCACTTCGCTGCCGAGTCCTCCACGGGAACCAACGTGAACGTGTGCACCACGGACGACTTCACGAAGTCCGTGGATGCCCTGGTGTACTACATCGACCCCGACAGCGAGGAGATGAAGATCGCCTACCCCAACCTGTTGTTCGACCGCAACATCATCGATGGCCGCGCCATGATGTGCTCCTTCCTGACCCTATCCATCGGCAACAACCAGGGCTGGGGGCTCAGCTTGGGATGCGAACGTCTGGAATCGCAGCTAGCTTTCTGTTGGGCGTTGGTTTGTGTTCATTGCAGTACCTGCGCAGCTAAAGCTGAGGTATGGGTGACGTCGAGTACGGCAAGATCTACGACTTCTACCTGCCCCCTGAGTTCCTCCGCCTGTATGATGGCCCCGCCGTGAACGTGGAGGACATGTGGCGCATCCTGGGCAAGGGCACCAGCAACGGTGGCCTTGTGGTGGGCACCATCATCAAGCCCAAGCTCGGCCTGCAGCCCAAGCCATTCGGCGAGGCCTGCTACGCGTTCTGGCAGGGCGGCGACTTCATCAAGAACGATGAGCCCCAGGGCAACCAGGTGTTCTGCCAGATGAACGAGGTCATCCCAGAGGTTGTGAAGGCCATGAGGGCGTGCATCAAGGAGACCGGCGTGGGCAAGCTCTTCTCTGCCAACATCACCGCGGATGATCCCAACGAGATGATTGCCCGCGGCAAGTACTGTCTGTCCCAGTTCGGACCTCTGTCCGAGAACTGCGCGTTCTTGGTGGATGGCTACGTGGCCGGAGGCACGGCCGTGACCTGCGCCCGCCGCAACTTCCCAGGACAGTTCTTGCACTACCACCGTGCCGGACATGGATCCGTGACTAGCCCCCAGACCCAGCGTGGTTACACCGCCTTCGTGCACACCAAGATCTCCCGAGTCATCGGCGCGTCCGGCATCCACACCGGCACCATGAGCTTCGGCAAGATGGAGGGCGATGCCTCGGACAAGAACATCGCCTTCATGCTGCAGGACGACGCGGCCGATGGCCCCTACTACCACCAGCCTTGGGAGGGCATGAAGCAGACGACTCCCATCATCTCCGGCGGCATGAACGCCCTGCGCCTGCCGGCCTTCTTCGAGAACCTGGGACACTCCAACGTGATCCTGACCGCCGGTGGCGGCTCCTTCGGCCACAAGGATGGCCCCAAGCCGGGTGCCGTCTCCTGCCGACAGGGCGAGGAGGCCTGGAAGGCATGGAAGTCCGGACAGTACGGCAACATCAGCCTGAGCGATGGCGTGATCGAGTTCGCCAAGACCCACGAGGAGATCAAGGGTGCCTTCCTCACCTTCCAGAAGGATGCGGACCAGATCTACCCTGGCTGGAAGGAGAAGCTCGGCTACACCGGCGAGTCGTCCGTGCAGGCGGCCAGCTTCGACTGGGCCAAGAAGGCCTCCGCCGCCGCCTTCGTGGGTGCCAGCGTGGCCCCGGCCAAGAAGGAGAGCAGCGTCTCGCGCAAGGCCCTGGATCAGTCCAGCCGCTACGCGGACCTGTCCCTGGATGAGGCGACTCTCATCAAGAGACCCAGCTGCAGGAACTGTCCAGGCATGTTTTGACAGGTATGTTAGTGTCCGGTCTGTTACGGAGGCGTGAAAGCCATGTCGGTCAGTGAGACAAGTCATTAGGGCGCAATGCGTACTCAGGAACGGCAAGCACGTGCTGGTGGCGTACATCATGAAGCCGAAGGCAGGGTACGACTACCTGGCCACCGCCGCCCACTTCGCTGCCGAGTCCTCCACGGGAACCAACGTGAACGTGTGCACCACGGACGACTTCACGAAGTCCGTGGATGCCCTGGTGTACTACATCGACCCCGACAGCGAGGAGATGAAGATCGCCTACCCCAACCTGTTGTTCGACCGCAACATCACCGATGGCCGCGCCATGATGTGCTCCTTCCTGACCCTATCCATCGGCAACAACCAGGGCTTGGCGCTCGGTTTAGGATGCGTCTGCAATCGAAGACTTTCTGTTGAGGTTTGATGAGGTGTGTGCTGTGTGTTTGCAGTAGCTTGAGATGAGGCATGGGTGACGTCGAGTACGGCAAGATCTACGACTTCTACCTGCCCCCTGAGTTCCTCCGCCTGTACGATGGCCCGGCCGTGAACGTGGAGGACATGTGGCGCATCCTGGGCAAGGGCACCAGCAACGGTGGCCTCGTGGTGGGCACCATCATCAAGCCCAAGCTCGGCCTGCAGCCCAAGCCATTCGGCGAGGCCTGCTACGCGTTCTGGCAGGGCGGCGACTTCATCAAGAACGATGAGCCCCAGGGCAACCAGGTGTTCTGCCAGATGAACGAGGTCATCCCAGAGGTTGTGAAGGCCATGAGGGCGTGCATCAAGGAGACTGGTGTGGGCAAGCTCTTCTCTGCCAACATCACCGCGGATGATCCCAACGAGATGATTGCCCGCGGCAAGTACTGTCTGTCCCAGTTCGGTCCTCTGTCCGAGAATTGCGCGTTCTTGGTGGATGGCTACGTGGCTGGAGGCACGGCCGTGACCTGCGCCCGCCGCAACTTCCCAGGACAGTTCCTGCACTACCACCGTGCCGGACATGGATCCGTGACCAGCCCCCAGACCCAGCGTGGTTACACCGCCTTCGTGCACACCAAGATCTCCCGAGTCATCGGTGCGTCCGGCATCCACACCGGCACCATGAGCTTCGGCAAGATGGAGGGCGATGCCTCGGACAAGAACATCGCCTTCATGCTGCAGGACGACGCGGCCGATGGCCCCTACTACCACCAGCCGTGGGAGGGCATGAAGCAGACCACTCCCATCATCTCTGGCGGCATGAACGCCCTGCGCCTGCCGGCCTTCTTCGAGAACCTGGGACACTCCAACGTGATCCTGACCGCCGGTGGCGGCTCATTCGGCCACAAGGATGGCCCCAAGCCGGGTGCCGTCTCCTGCCGCCAGGGTGAGGAGGCCTGGAAGGCCTGGAAGTCCGGACAGTACGGCAACATCAGCCTGAGCGATGGCGTGATCGAGTTCGCCAAGACCCACGAGGAGATCAAGGGTGCCTTCCTCACCTTCCAGAAGGATGCGGACCAGATCTACCCGGGCTGGAAGGAGAAGCTCGGCTACACCGGCGAGTCGTCCGTGCAGGCGGCCAGCTTCGACTGGGCCAAGAAGGCCTCCGCCGCCGCCTTCGTGGGTGCCAGCGTGGCCCCGGCCAAGAAGGAGAGCAGCGTCTCGCGCAAGGCCCTGGATCAGTCCAGCCGCTACGCGGACCTGTCCCTGGATGAGGCGACTCTCATCAAGAGACCCAGCTGCAGGAACTGTCCAGGCATGTTTTGACAGGTATGTTAGTGTCCGGTCTGTTACGGAGGCGTGAAAGCCATGTCGGTCAGTGAGACGAGTCATTAGGGCGCAATGCGTACTCAGGAACGGCAAGCACGTGCTGGTGGCGTACATCATGAAGCCGAAGGCAGGGTACGACTACCTGGCCACCGCCGCCCACTTCGCTGCCGAGTCCTCCACGGGAACCAACGTGAACGTGTGCACCACGGACGACTTCACGAAGTCCGTGGATGCCCTGGTGTACTACATCGACCCCGACAGCGAGGAGATGAAGATCGCCTACCCCAACCTGTTGTTCGACCGCAACATCATCGATGGCCGCGCCATGATGTGCTCCTTCCTGACCCTATCCATCGGCAACAACCAGGGCTGGGGGCTCAGCTTGGGATGCGAACGTCTGGAATCGCAGCTAGCTTTCTGTTGGGCGTTGGTTTGTGTTCATTGCAGTACCTGCGCAGCTAAAGCTGAGGTATGGGTGACGTCGAGTACGGCAAGATCTACGACTTCTACCTGCCCCCTGAGTTCCTCCGCCTGTATGATGGCCCCGCCGTGAACGTGGAGGACATGTGGCGCATCCTGGGCAAGGGCACCAGCAACGGTGGCCTTGTGGTGGGCACCATCATCAAGCCCAAGCTCGGCCTGCAGCCCAAGCCATTCGGCGAGGCCTGCTACGCGTTCTGGCAGGGCGGCGACTTCATCAAGAACGATGAGCCCCAGGGCAACCAGGTGTTCTGCCAGATGAACGAGGTCATCCCAGAGGTTGTGAAGGCCATGAGGGCGTGCATCAAGGAGACCGGCGTGGGCAAGCTGTTCTCTGCCAACATCACCGCGGATGATCCCAACGAGATGATTGCCCGCGGCAAGTACTGTCTGTCCCAGTTCGGACCTCTGTCCGAGAACTGCGCGTTCTTGGTGGACGGCTATGTGGCTGGAGGCACGGCCGTGACCTGCGCCCGCCGCAACTTCCCAGGACAGTTCCTGCACTACCACCGTGCCGGACATGGATCCGTGACCAGCCCCCAGACCCAGCGTGGTTACACCGCCTTCGTGCACACCAAGATCTCCCGAGTCATCGGTGCGTCCGGCATCCACACCGGCACCATGAGCTTTGGCAAGATGGAGGGCGATGCCTCAGACAAGAACATCGCCTTCATGCTGCAAGACGACGCGGCCGATGGCCCCTACTACCACCAGCCGTGGGAGGGCATGAAGCAGACCACTCCCATCATCTCCGGCGGCATGAACGCCCTGCGCCTGCCGGCCTTCTTCGAGAACCTGGGACACTCCAACGTGATCCTGACCGCCGGTGGCGGCTCCTTCGGCCACAAGGATGGCCCCAAGCCGGGTGCCGTCTCCTGCCGCCAGGGTGAGGAGGCCTGGAAGGCCTGGAAGTCCGGACAGTACGGCAACATCAGCCTGAGCGATGGCGTGATCGAGTTCGCCAAGACCCACGAGGAGATCAAGGGTGCCTTCCTCACCTTCCAGAAGGATGCGGACCAGATCTACCCGGGCTGGAAGGAGAAGCTCGGCTACACCGGCGAGTCGTCCGTGCAGGCGGCCAGCTTCGACTGGGCCAAGAAGGCCTAGGTGGACGCTTCGGTGATGTTTCAGCCATACGGACATACGTTTGATATTTTTCTGGTAGGCCTACACTTAAGCAGTAAGTAGAGATTTTTGCTTGATGAGGCTTGGACCGCTTCTTCAACACCATGGCCATCGTGTGGCGGCGGGCTCTGCATATAATGAGGCCCTCCCGATTTAAGAATGTTTCCAAGGGGCCTAACCTTTAAGAAAGGCCGAAGCAAGGGCAATCGTGTTGCATAGCCGTGACAACCTACCGCACGAAGATCTGAGCCCTGTTTCGGCAAAAAAAAATGCACGCACGGGGGGCCGCTGAGGGCTCCCTGGCCGTTCTGTGCCCTGAGCGCTTTACATCCTTCAGAAGTGTTCCTCGTACGAACCTCCAACATGCCCTAAAGACCCTTCAGCCATCCCTGAAGCCCGTTGAACGACATGAGTGTAAAGGTGTAAAGGGGTTGGGCAGTCAACCCCGATGTGCAAAGTGGAACTGTCACTCCCGTGGCGATCACCCTAACTTAGGCGCTCATGTCATAAAAAGGCACACTTTCTCCCAGACGGGCTGCGCTCCCGTCAAATTCTCCCTTGCGTCTGCGTCCTCTGGAGGAGCACGGCCTCTTGGGCTGCAGACTCAAGTATCTCCGAAGCCAACTCTTTGTATTATAACGTTTCCAGGGTTCCAGACCAGACAGGACAGGGCTCGAAGAGCACCTGGAATGTTCGAGATTCTCGGATTGCTGAGGAGGTGACCATGCGCGTGCAAAAGGTGTGGCTTGTGATCGCTGAGATCGCCACATGACGGACATCACCGGTCTGAGATGTTGGGCGTGGCCTGTGATGGCAGTGTTTGCACCTCAGCTGCGCCGGGTCAATATACGTATCTGCCCCCCCACTTGCATCGTGCAGTGCCCTCTATTGTCGGGATGGCTCAGCGCCCATCCAACCTGGCCCTTGCTGGGGCAGCCGCAGGCGCGTGGTGCCTCATGCAGTCCATAGTATTCTTATTATTCTTATAATTACTAGTACTACCATTAATCTTACTCTTCTTATTAGCATTGTACGTTGCTAAATGACCTAGATCCTGTAAGCTTGAAGGACATTGTAAATCCTCGCACTACCCAAGCCCGAGAAACCTTCGTGCAGACCGAAGCACACTCCACTCAATGCCTCAACTCTGCAAGAGACTTCTATAAGCTTCGCCCCTTTAACACTTAGGAGTCTTTCCGGGTTGGCTACTAAGCCGAAACAGCCGTCAGCAGCCTTCAAAGGCCTTCCTTCCACCCTCAACCCCAACGATAAACAAGCTCTAAAGGCCCTGAACCTTTCAAGCCCAAGAGACCAGCGTTGAAGGGGCTTGGCTTCAGGTTTGGGGACTGAGGGTTGAACTCTGCAGCCTACCCGGTATTATTTGCTCCCAGTAGGGTAGAATTCAGGACGGCGCTTTTCGCACTACTTTTGACTGCCCATGTGAACCTTCAAGTAACAAATCCCCTAGCCGTAAGCTCTTGTTCCCACACCACAAACTTTCAAAGAGCCCCAAGCACTACAACTCTACAACTCCTAAAGCCCCAAACCCGACACCCTACCATGGGGTCGCAAAAGTGGTTACTGAGCGCATTCCCTTATGGTCCTGATATAATGATACTATAAACACCCCAAAAAAACCCAATCTGATTCTTAAAGCCCCTAATTCCACCCCCAAACCCCACCCTGCACCCTCCACTCTACACCACCCTAAACCCTAAACCCCAAACCCTAAACCCTAAACCCTAAACCCTAAACCCCTAAACCCTAAGCACTAAAAAACCCGAACCCCTAATAACCCTGAACTTCCCAAACCCCCCGAGGCGGGCTTGCCTTGTTGGGCTCCGCCACCAGGGAGGCCTTCGTCGCTGCGCCGCGGGAGGCCGCGGTGCCTTTTTGATGTTTTTTTGTTGTTTTTAGGGCTCCCCTTCGGTTTTTTTTTTTTTTTAGGGTTTAGTGTTTTTTTTTGGGGGGGGGGTGGTTTAGGTTTCGGGCTTCGGGTGTTGTCGGCTCCTCTTTCTAGGGCCGAGGGTGGTTTTTTAGGGCTGTTTTGCCTGGTTTCAAGGGCTTCTTCAGCTGCTGAGGGTTTAGAAAGGGCCTGAGCTGTGATGGCTTGGGGACAGCCCAGGGCCGGGGATCAAGCAGACTTCGGTCCCAGCATCTTGTTTGCCATGCAACGCACGAATTGTGGCAGCAGGCAGTCCGCAGTTCTGTTCTGCCAACGAAGATTGCTGTGGATACTCCGTGACGCAGAGTTGGGATGCTTCAATCTGTGTGCACATAGTGCAAGCTGTTCGTGGTTTTCCGTGCTTGGTGACAGCCGCTGTGCAAGCCGAAAGTAGTTTTGATACTTTCAACGACAACGTCATTCGCAGCTTGGACTGCGCTTTTATGTAATGCCATTCCGGTATGCCGTTCGCATTGTACCCCCCGACTTCGTGAAGCGCGGGTGGCTTCTCGTAGCTGTCGTAGGAGAAGTGGCCGTGACCACACTGGCAGTACGAATTTCTTTCTCAGGAAGTTGAGAACGGATGTTGAAGGCACACCCCTCAATCGTAAAACTTTTATGCCTTGAAAATGCGCCCCGAACCCCAACATCCTTGAACCCAAAGCAAGCAGGCCAGCGCACCCAGCCTACGAGGCACCTCTGCGGCCCAGGCAAGATGGGATTCGGGGTGGGGTGTTTCGGGGTGTAGGGTTAGGGCTAGGGTTCAGGTTTTTGTCGGGTGTAGCATAGGCTGTCTTAAGTGCAACTGCCCCTAAGCCTTCAAGGCAGGAGGAAGAGTTTAGGGAGGGGATAGGGCTAGAATGTCCAAAACCTCCGAGGGGTGTGTGTGTGTGTGTGGATGTCCAGCGGATTCAGCGGGCGCAGCGGCGGATGGACTGCAGCTTGGGAGTTCCTAACGGCACATAGCAAGGAATCCAAGCCCGAAGCTCTACGCCTTGAGCAAGGGACAGAAAATGCACGAAACCCTCCAGTACATCCTCAAATCCTCGGGAGTTTTTGGGACCCTGTAAACCTTAAACCCCCTCAGCCGCAAAGCAACACCAGGCCCAAGCTACCAGCCCTGCAAGTGCCTCGCTTTCCGCCCCTTGGCTTAGGTAGTTAATTGGGGGGCAAAAACTCGGTTCCCTACATAAACGCCTTGGTCTTTGATAAGGTTTTCTACATCAGGGCTCTTTTAGGGAGGTTCCAGGTAATGGGGGTCCACGGTGAGCAAGTTGTACATGTGGGGCTTTAAACGGGTTATAATCGGTTCCTCATGCGATCGCTGAAGAGGGTTATATAGCTCCCCAAATTCCTTACGATTCTTTATGTTGGCAACTGTTTGCAACCTGTCTTGAATGTGTGTGTGTGTGGTCCCATGCACAAAGATGAATACAAGCTCCAGGTGACGGGAGCATACTGCTTGCTCGGGCTTTTACCAACTTGGGGGTTCATGTGGAGAGTCGCCAAATCCTAAATTCCACGACTCGGGAAAGGGGTGTCAAGGCCCTTGCTGGCGGCGCGGTCGCCGCCGCAGCAGTGGCCGGCCGCCCAGGCAACTTCGGGGGTATTCGGGGGGCTTCCTTCATGAGGACCCTTTGTTGCATACTTGCAGGCCCACACACCCAGAAAGGAGACCATGTCTTTTGATGAGCCCTCCGTTTTGACAGGTCTTCCCGCGGCATGTAAACCCTAAGCCCCAAGCCCTAAGCCCTGAACCAGAAGGGTTGGACTCCGCAAGCAAGGGCCCTGGTCCTGGACCGGTGTAGCCAGGGGGTGTCGTTGCTGGCTCTTGTGGGATTTACAGGTTGGGATACTTCCCCTCTTACTAGCAGTCCTTAAAAGGGATTCTGCTAGGGGGTTGCTAGAATCCCTATGAAGGAGCTTTTCGTTTGAGGGGGGGCATCCCGAGGTCCAGGGCTTTAGGGTTGGAGCCTTGTAAGTCCCCATATGGAAGCCCGCAAGCGAAAGGACGCCCGTCGCGAAGCCCCCTCCCCACGACGGTGGTGCCGGTGAAGGACTCCCGGGCCTTGCTTTAGGGAGGTTTAGGGTTTAGATGGGTTGTGGGTCTAGGGTTAGGGCTTAAAGAAATTTTTAAACTAATGGAGGCTATCATGTTTATGCCATGAACCTTCAAGTAGGGTTAGGGTTTATGTGAAGCAGATTTGGGAGGCTACCCATTGCGGCACTTCTGAGCTCTGACTGGTGTTTCGACTGCCCTGCTTGCGCACGACCTCCGTACATGCAATCAGGACAGCCGGGTGACGCGCAAAGCACTGGACCAGTCCAGTCGTTATGCCGACCTGTCTCTGGATGAGGCGACCCTGATCAAGCCACTAGCCCGAAAAGAATCTGAATGCCGAATTGCCCTCTGTGTTCTAAAAGCATGGTCGTGGTTTTGATGCCCATGACAAACACCTGTCGAACGATTGTGACACTTGTACCTCCTCCGTCTGCTTCCCGCAAGTGTTGAAGCTCAGGAACGGCAAGCACGTGCTGGTGGCGTACATCATGAAGCCGAAGGCAGGGTACGACTACCTGGCCACCGCGGCCCATTTCGCTGCCGAGTCCTCCACGGGAACCAACGTGAATGTGTGCACCACTGACGACTTCACGAAGTCCGTGGATGCCCTGGTGTACTACATCGACCCCGACAGCGAGGAGATGAAGATCGCCTACCCCAACCTGTTGTTCGACCGCAACATCATCGATGGCCGCGCCATGATGTGCTCCTTCCTGACCTTGTCCATCGGCAACAACCAGGGTTGGGGGCTCAGTTTGGTGCATGCGGACGTCTGAAAGCACTGCTGACTTTCTGCTTAGATTTGGTCTTGCATGTGTACAGAATGTACAGAAGCCGCTAAGGTATGGGTGACGTCGAGTACGGCAAGATCTACGACTTCTACCTGCCCCCTGAGTTCCTCCGCCTGTACGACGGCCCGGCCGTGAACGTGGAGGACATGTGGCGCATCCTGGGCAAGGGCACCAGCAACGGTGGCCTCGTGGTGGGCACCATCATCAAGCCCAAGCTCGGCCTGCAGCCCAAGCCATTCGGCGAGGCCTGCTACGCGTTCTGGCAGGGCGGCGACTTCATCAAGAACGATGAGCCCCAGGGCAACCAGGTGTTCTGCCAGATGAACGAGGTCATCCCAGAGGTTGTGAAGGCCATGAGGGCGTGCATCAAGGAGACTGGTGTGGGCAAGCTCTTCTCTGCCAACATCACCGCGGATGATCCCAACGAGATGATTGCCCGCGGCAAGTACTGTCTGTCCCAGTTCGGTCCTCTGTCCGAGAACTGCGCGTTCTTGGTGGATGGCTACGTGGCCGGAGGCACGGCCGTGACCTGCGCCCGCCGCAACTTCCCAGGACAGTTCCTGCACTACCACCGTGCCGGACATGGATCCGTGACCAGCCCCCAGACGCAGCGTGGTTACACCGCCTTCGTGCACACCAAGATCTCCCGAGTCATCGGTGCGTCCGGCATCCACACCGGAACCATGAGCTTCGGCAAGATGGAGGGCGATGCCTCAGACAAGAACATCGCCTTCATGCTGCAGGACGACGCGGCCGATGGCCCCTACTACCACCAGCCATGGGAGGGCATGAAGCAGACGACTCCCATCATCTCCGGCGGCATGAACGCCCTGCGCCTGCCGGCCTTCTTCGAGAATCTTGGACACTCCAACGTGATCCTGACCGCCGGCGGTGGCTCTTTCGGCCACAAGGATGGCCCCAAGCCGGGCGCCGTCTCCTGCCGACAGGGTGAGGAGGCCTGGAAGGCCTGGAAGTCCGGACAGTACGGCAACATCAGCCTGAGCGATGGCGTGATCGAGTTCGCCAAGACCCACGAGGAGATCAAGGGTGCCTTCCTCACCTTCCAGAAGGATGCGGACCAGATCTACCCTGGCTGGAAGGAGAAGCTCGGATACACTGGCGAGTCGTCCGTGCAGGCGGCCAGCTTCGACTGGGCCAAGAAGGCCTCCGCCGCCGCCTTCGTGGGTGCCAGCGTGGCCCCGGCCAAGAAGGAGAGCAGCGTCTCGCGCAAGGCCCTGGATCAGTCCAGCCGCTACGCGGACCTGTCCCTGGATGAGGCGACTCTCATCAAGAGACCCAGCTGCAGGAACTGTCCAGCCATGTTAGGTAGGTAAGTCTAAGGTGGCTTTGCTATCCGCTATCCGGACTGTTGCAGAGGTGTGAAGGCCATGTTGATCAGTGAGATGAGTCATTAGGGTGCAATGCGTACTCAGGAACGGCAAGCACGTGCTGGTGGCGTACATCATGAAGCCGAAGGCAGGGTACGACTACCTGGCCACCGCCGCCCACTTCGCTGCCGAGTCCTCCACGGGCACTAACGTGAATGTGTGCACCACTGACGACTTCACGAAGTCCGTGGATGCCCTGGTGTACTACATCGACCCCGACAGCGAGGAGATGAAGATCGCCTACCCCAACCTGTTGTTCGACCGCAACATCATCGATGGCCGCGCCATGATGTGCTCCTTCCTGACCTTGTCCATCGGCAACAACCAGGGTTGGGGGCTCAGTTTGGTGCATGCGGACGTCTGAAAGCACTGCTGACTTTCTGCTTAGATTTGGTTGTGCATGTGTACAGAAGCCGCTAAGGTATGGGCGACGTCGAGTACGGCAAGATCTACGACTTCTACCTGCCCCCTGAGTTCCTCCGCCTGTACGACGGCCCGGCCGTGAACGTGGAGGACATGTGGCGCATCCTGGGCAAGGGCACCAGCAACGGTGGCCTCGTGGTGGGCACCATCATCAAGCCCAAGCTCGGCCTGCAGCCCAAGCCATTCGGCGAGGCCTGCTACGCGTTCTGGCAGGGCGGCGACTTCATCAAGAACGATGAGCCCCAGGGCAACCAGGTGTTCTGCCAGATGAACGAGGTCATCCCAGAGGTTGTGAAGGCCATGAGGGCGTGCATCAAGGAGACCGGCGTGGGCAAGCTCTTCTCTGCCAACATCACCGCGGATGATCCCAACGAGATGATTGCCCGCGGCAAGTACTGTCTGTCCCAGTTCGGACCTCTGTCCGAGAACTGCGCGTTCTTGGTGGATGGATACGTGGCCGGAGGCACGGCCGTGACCTGCGCCCGCCGCAACTTCCCAGGACAGTTCCTGCACTACCACCGTGCCGGACATGGATCCGTGACCAGCCCCCAGACCCAGCGTGGTTACACCGCCTTCGTGCACACCAAGATCTCCCGAGTCATCGGTGCGTCTGGCATCCACACCGGCACCATGAGCTTCGGCAAGATGGAGGGCGATGCCTCGGACAAGAACATCGCCTTCATGCTGCAGGACGACGCGGCCGATGGCCCCTACTACCACCAGCCGTGGGAGGGCATGAAGCAGACCACTCCCATCATCTCCGGCGGCATGAACGCCCTGCGCCTGCCGGCCTTCTTCGAGAACCTTGGACACTCCAACGTGATCCTGACGGCCGGTGGTGGCTCCTTCGGCCACAAGGATGGCCCCAAGCCGGGTGCCGTCTCCTGCCGCCAGGGTGAGGAGGCCTGGAAGGCCTGGAAGTCCGGACAGTACGGCAACATCAGCCTGAGCGATGGCGTGATCGAGTTCGCCAAGACCCACGAGGAGATCAAGGGTGCCTTCCTCACCTTCCAGAAGGATGCGGACCAGATCTACCCTGGCTGGAAGGAGAAGCTCGGATACACTGGCGAGTCGTCCGTGCAGGCGGCCAGCTTCGACTGGGCCAAGAAAGCCTCCGCTGCCGCCTTCGTGGGTGCCAGCGTGGCCCCGGCCAAGAAGGAGAGCAGCGTCTCGCGCAAGGCCCTGGATCAGTCCAGCCGCTATGCAGATCTGTCCCTGGATGAGGCAACTCTCATCAAGAGACCCAGTTGCAGGAACTGTCCAGCCATGTTAGGTAGGTAAGTCTAAGGTGGCTCCGCTATCCGCTATCCGGTCTGTTGCAGAGGTGTGAAGGCCATGTTGATCAGTGAGATGAGTCATTAGGGCGCAATGCGTACTCAGGAACGGCAAGCACGTGCTGGTGGCGTACATCATGAAGCCGAAGGCAGGGTACGACTACCTGGCCACCGCCGCCCACTTCGCTGCCGAGTCCTCCACGGGAACCAACGTGAACGTGTGCACCACGGACGACTTCACGAAGTCCGTGGATGCCCTGGTGTACTACATCGACCCCGACAGCGAGGAGATGAAGATCGCCTACCCCAACCTGTTGTTCGACCGCAACATCACCGATGGCCGCGCCATGATGTGCTCCTTTCTGACCCTGTCCATCGGCAACAACCAGGGTTTGGGGCTCAGTTTTGTGCATGCGGACGTCTGAAAGCACTGCTGACTTTCTGCTTAGATTTGGTCTTGCATGTGTACAGAATGTACAGAAGCCGCTAAGGTATGGGCGACGTCGAGTACGGCAAGATCTACGACTTCTACCTGCCCCCTGAATTCCTCCGCCTGTACGACGGCCCGGCTGTGAACGTGGAGGACATGTGGCGCATCCTGGGCAAGGGCACCAGCAACGGTGGCCTCGTGGTGGGCACCATCATCAAGCCCAAGCTCGGCCTGCAGCCCAAGCCATTCGGCGAGGCCTGCTACGCGTTCTGGCAGGGCGGCGACTTCATCAAGAACGATGAGCCCCAGGGCAACCAGGTGTTCTGCCAGATGAACGAGGTCATCCCAGAGGTCGTGAAGGCCATGAGGGCGTGCATCAAGGAGACCGGCGTGGGCAAGCTCTTCTCTGCCAACATCACCGCGGATGATCCCAACGAGATGATTGCCCGCGGCAAGTACTGCCTGTCCCAGTTCGGTCCTCTGTCCGAGAACTGCGCGTTCTTGGTGGATGGCTACGTGGCTGGTGGCACGGCCGTGACCTGCGCCCGCCGCAACTTCCCAGGACAGTTCCTGCACTACCACCGTGCCGGACATGGATCCGTGACCAGCCCCCAGACCCAGCGTGGTTACACCGCCTTCGTGCACACCAAGATCTCCCGAGTCATCGGTGCGTCTGGCATCCACACCGGCACCATGAGCTTCGGCAAGATGGAGGGCGATGCCTCGGACAAGAACATCGCCTTCATGCTGCAGGACGACGCGGCCGATGGCCCCTACTACCACCAGCCGTGGGAGGGCATGAAGCAGACCACTCCCATCATCTCTGGCGGCATGAACGCCCTGCGCCTGCCGGCCTTCTTCGAGAACCTGGGACACTCCAACGTGATCCTGACCGCCGGTGGCGGCTCATTCGGCCACAAGGATGGCCCCAAGCCGGGTGCCGTCTCCTGCCGCCAGGGTGAGGAGGCCTGGAAGGCCTGGAAGTCCGGACAGTACGGCAACATCAGCCTGAGCGATGGCGTGATCGAGTTCGCCAAGACCCACGAGGAGATCAAGGGTGCCTTCCTCACGTTCCAGAAGGATGCGGACCAGATCTACCCTGGCTGGAAGGAGAAGCTCGGCTACACCGGCGAGTCGTCCGTGCAGGCGGCCAGCTTCGACTGGGCCAAGAAGGCCTGAACCGCCACTTGCTCTCTTGTTCAATGACTTCTTGTTGTTGTCTTGGTACACTGAACAAAACCTATTTTGTAGATAGGAAGGTATACTGGGACATAAGAAGGCCCGAAAGCTCTAGAAGCCCTGAAGCAAAGCGGAACCCTGAAGCCCAGGACATTTCGTGACCGGTGACTAGATTGACCAGAAGATAGGCAGTTCAGCCTTGCGCAGGTTCTTAGGATTTTTCATGTCTTTGCAACAAAGAATGCTTCTCGCAGTCTCCCATGATGAGCAGAATCCCCGACAATATTGCAGTCACGTATGTCCGGGCTATTTATCATCATTACAGAATCTGCCGGATCTGCTATTTTGTTTCGGCAAGGAGACTGTTTGACTTGCTGGGAGCAATAGTTGGCTCCCAGCTGTTCTGCATCACCTGCCACATTCGTGACCTGAGCGCAGCTCTTCTGCCAAGTGTGACGTCACAATCGAGCCAAAGCCATAGGGTACTTGTAAGGGCGCTTGACTGAAGATTCATTCCGGAACGTATAAGAGTTGGCCACGTGAGGCTTTGCGACTTATAGCTGTGCTCTCATCGATGCACCTTTCTCCAAATGGACGGGCGGCGCTGCCCGTCGTCAGTTTTCGCTGGCGTCTGCATCCCTCTGCTTGACTCCTACATACATGAAGCCAAGGCTGAGTTTTTGAACTTGCGCTTTGCTATGCAGACTCCGGACAATTTTACCAAACCAACTCTTTGCACCAGCTAGCACAGGGTTCCAAACCAGGCGGGACGGCTCGAAGAGCACCTGTAAAGTTCGGAAAGTTAGTGAACCCTGATGAATAAGTGACAAGTGCCGCGAGCGACAAAGGCGACAGAGGCGGCTTGTTGCCTGCATCGGATTCCTTGCGATTCTGCAACATGCTGTAAAACTAAACCCTCTAGACATAGAGCTTGAGAGCCAGCGCACGCCTCTCGTCCTCCGCAGCAGCTCGGGTCCAAATACACGGAATTTTTCCTCTCCTTAGGCGCCTCGCTATGGCTCAGCGCCCATCCAACCTGGCCCTTGCTGGGGCGGCCGCAGGCCGCTCAAGCCGGCAAAGGGCTCCTTGCAGGGCTTTGTAGCCTTAGTTCCCCAACCCCAAACCCCAAACCCCAACCCCAAACCCCGAACCCTAAACCCTAAACCCTAAACCCTTAACCTTAAACCCTAAACCCTTAAGCCTCTTAGAGACAGGCGGGCTCGCGCTACTGGGTGCCACCGCCGATGCCTTCGTTGCGGCACCACGGGAGGCGCCGGGGCCAGTGAGAAGGAGCAGGGAATTCAGGGTTTAGGGTTTAGGAGGGTTTAGGTTCAGGGTTTAGGGTTTAGGGTTTAGGGTTTAGGGTTTAGGGGGGTTACCGCAGTATAGGATTACGATCCTGGTTTGTCAATACAAGTAGCAGTACGATTCTTATTATGCTATAAGGGCTAACGGAGTAATGATACTAGTCGTATGGTTCTTATGATTTTTACAGGGTTTTCAGGTGTCTCGGGTGTCAGACGGCTTCAAGGGTTTCGGGCTATGGCTTCAGGGGTTTATGTTAGCCATTGAACCTGTCATCTTATCCCTGAACCCGGAGCGAAGTGAAGGGAATTCATGAGATCATAGAACTATATTTATGGTCTGTGTTTTATCTTTAATATGCTAAATTAAACTTGGTCTGTTTGATCACATCATATTCTTTCCACAACATCGTATAACAAATCTAATAAATACGGGCAATCATTTCTGACCCCCCTACAGAAAGTACTTCACTACAGTATACATGAATTCTTGTGAAGGGAAAATCTGAAAGGACACATGCAACCATTTTAATGCTTCTATTTTAATTTTAGTGTTGATTGGTGCGCAAGTACCGTTCATTGGGCGTCTAAAAGGGGAAACGAATTGAGCATATGTTCTGTCAAGCAGTCGAAAGTTCGAGTTGATTGGTTGCCTTTGCCACCGACCCACAATCTAAGCACCCCGCCCCCCCCCCCCCCCTCCCCCCGCCTCTTTCCTTCTTTGCGGGTGAGAGGTATTGGGGAGGGGTCTAGGATTGGGGGTTCAGGGTTCCGTGCCTGATGAGGCCAGCGCTCCGAGCCTCCGTGGCGCCTCCCTGGCGCAGGCGCAGGCTTGGGCTCGGCGTGGGGGCTTGGTTGTTTAGGGTTTAGGGCTTAGGGTTTAGGGTTTAGGTTTTAGTGTTAGGGTTAGTGTTGAGAGTGAATAAGGAACAGACTTTAGTAGAGTGTAATATGCGATGGCACTGTTAGGGTTGGGGGTGTTGTGGGAGGAGGGGGGGGAGGGTTGAAATTGGGGGGGTTGGGGGGAGCTGCGAGGGGGGTTTGGAGGTTGTCTTTTCTTTGGGGGAGCCTTGAGATCCCTGACCGATGCTGCATTCCCTGATATCCCCTATGCCCTCATTGTCTTGAACCGCGACGTGCTCAACCCCCAAGCCCTTTGGCAGCTCCAGCATTGAAGTTATGCGAGGCGCAGGGCACGAGCGCCGGTAGCTCCTCCTTTGCCGCGCCTTGGCAGGGGCTTGCTGTGGTGTTTAGGGTTTTGGTGCTTGGCGTCGAGGCTTTGAGGTGTTGGCAGCATGAGGGGACACTTATAGGTGCGTCTCGCTGTGGTTGGGGCAGCAGATCCCCGTAACTGACCCAGACAGACCCAAGCTGCCCCAAACCCTCCCGCCGGGGGTTTAGTCCAAAACTAGAAGGCAGCGAAGCCCAATTTGGGGAGCGCCTCCAGCCTCCAGAAGCTCGCGGCGAGACTTTTCTCGCCACGATCGATCCCAAACTCATGTGCCTGCGAGGGAGGGGTTCTGGGCTGAAAAAGGGGAAGCTCCTGGTCCTGGAACCTTCAAGCTTTACATTTAATCCGAGGATCTGATTAATACAGCCCCCGAAATTTAAAGCAACAGTTTTTTGCCCCGAATCCTCCGGGAAGACTACTTTCCATTACGGGAGCCAAAAGCCCAAAATGCCCAAACAAACCCCCGACATTTAAAGCAAAAGATTTGGGGGCCCAAAAAATTTGGAATTGCTGAAGGCTACAGGAGTAATGGAAAGACTGCCGGCCTGCGAGGACGAGAAGGACAGAGATTTTGAATTGCTTAAGTAATGATACGACGTGCTCTTGGATTTTTTGGAATTGGAGGCTGCAGCAGAAAAGTGCGATTCCTTTACTACCTTTCATCTAGGATCATTGCCCAAATCATTCGCTCCTGACCTACCCCTTGCGGGGCCGGAATTCAGGCCAGAATTTGGGATTAATAAAACCCCCTCAAATAATGGAAAGCCCGGCGGGCCCACCATGACGAGGCAAAAGCATAAGCCTTCCAAAAAGAGGAGGACAGCCCCTTTCCGCACACCTCCCCCCCCCCCCCCCCCCCCAGCCCAAGGAAATAATAGACCCCTTCGGGGGGGGAGGGGCCCCTTTTTAATCAGAAGCACGGATTGGGGTTGAGCCAAAAACCCCGCAGAGCCCTCTGAACCCCCCCAAAGCCTCTACAGGGAGCCAGAAAGCGCAGCCAAGGCCCTTGCTGCTGGCGGTGCCGTTGCCGCGGCCGCTGCGGCCTCCGGCCGCCCAGGTAGCGGGGCAGCCCTGAACCCAAACCTCGAAAATGTAAGCCTTAAATCACAAGCCCCCGAACCATTGACCTTGTGGAATCTGAGCCTTCTCATTCTTTACCGAGAGAGAGAAGGATGATCTAGTGTAGTCCTGTTTTTTATTTCGGGCACGGTTGTATAGTGTATGTGCTGTCTCGTTGAGGTTGCCAAACTTAGATCGACCCGATGTGAAAGGACGCCAGACGCGAAGCTCGGTGCTTCCCACCACAGTGGTGCCGGTGAAGGACTGGGGCATGACGGGCCTTCTAGGCCCTGCCCTTAGTATGAAGTGCGGGCCCTTACAGGTGCAGTATGTGCAGTGTATATAAGGGTTATAGACTTATAGGACAATGGACCCAGACTGAGGGCCCATTCTCTTGGAACCTTAGATTAAAGGGGGTTTTTCTTCGAAAGCATCAGCGACAACGGATGCGGGATGTGAGGTTTTAAAAATGGGTTTTTGGGGTGATTCAGACTGTGCAGACTTCTGCCGCCGTTTCAGTTTCTGCTTTGCGCACGGGTTGTCCAGGACAGCCGGGTGACCCTCAAGGCCCTCGACCAATCCAGCCGCTATGCGGACTTGTCCCTGGACGAAGCGACCCTGATCAAGACACCCAGCTGCAAGTTGCGATGCCGCAGCATGCCTTGCCCAGCACACTGTCGTATCACTCTCCCACTCTCCCGCATTCCTCTCTGACTCCCACGCTCTCTCACTCTCTCCCTCTCTCGCTCTCCCTCTGACAATTGTTTTTGTTTGTGCTGGTGTACGGCTGCTACTTGCTTGTCTGCAAGGAACGGCAAGCACGTGCTGGTTGCGTACATCATGAAGCCGAAGGCAGGCTACGACTACCTGGCCACCGCCGCCCACTTCGCAGCCGAGTCCTCCACGGGCACCAACGTGAACGTGTGCACCACGGACGACTTCACGAAGTCCGTGGATGCCCTGGTGTACTACATCGACCCCGACAGCGAGGAGATGAAGATCGCCTACCCCAACCTGTTGTTCGACCGCAACATCACCGATGGCCGCGCCATGATGTGCTCTTTCCTGACCTTGTCCATCGGTAACAACCAGGGCTGGGGGCTCAGCTTGGGATGCGAACGTCTGGACTCGCAGCTATAGCTTTCTGTTGGGAGTTGGTGTGTGTTCCTTGCAGCTAAAGCTGAGGTATGGGTGACGTCGAGTATGGCAAGATCTACGACTTCTACCTGCCCCCTGAGTTCCTCCGCCTGTATGACGGCCCGGCCGTGAACGTGGAGGACATGTGGCGCATCCTGGGCAAGGGCACCAGCAACGGCGGCCTCGTGGTGGGCACCATCATCAAGCCCAAGCTCGGACTGCAGCCCAAGCCATTCGGCGAGGCCTGCTACGCATTCTGGCAGGGTGGCGACTTCATCAAGAACGATGAGCCCCAGGGCAACCAGGTGTTCTGCCAGATGAACGAGGTCATCCCAGAGGTCGTGAAGGCCATGAGGGCGTGCATCAAGGAGACCGGCGTGGGCAAGCTCTTCTCTGCCAACATCACCGCGGATGATCCCAACGAGATGATTGCCCGCGGCAAGTACTGTCTGTCCCAGTTCGGTCCTCTGTCTGAGAATTGCGCGTTCTTGGTGGATGGCTACGTGGCTGGAGGCACGGCCGTGACCTGCGCCCGCCGCAACTTCCCGGGGCAGTTCCTGCACTACCACCGTGCCGGACATGGATCCGTGACCAGCCCCCAGACCCAGCGTGGTTACACCGCCTTCGTGCACACCAAGATCTCCCGAGTCATCGGTGCGTCCGGCATCCACACCGGAACCATGAGCTTCGGCAAGATGGAGGGCGATGCCTCGGACAAGAACATCGCCTTCATGCTGCAAGACGACGCGGCCGATGGCCCCTACTACCACCAGCCATGGGAGGGCATGAAGCAGACCACTCCCATCATCTCCGGCGGCATGAACGCCCTGCGCCTGCCGGCCTTCTTCGAGAACCTTGGACACTCCAACGTGATCCTGACCGCCGGTGGCGGCTCCTTCGGCCACAAGGATGGCCCCAAGCCGGGTGCCGTCTCCTGCCGCCAGGGTGAGGAGGCCTGGAAGGCCTGGAAGTCCGGACAGTACGGCAACATCAGCCTGAGCGATGGCGTGATCGAGTTCGCCAAGACCCACGAGGAGATCAAGGGTGCCTTCCTCACCTTCCAGAAGGATGCGGACCAGATCTACCCGGGCTGGAAGGAGAAGCTCGGCTACACAGGCGAGTCGTCCGTGCAGGCGGCCAGCTTCGACTGGGCCAAGAAGGCCTCCGCCGCCGCCTTCGTGGGTGCCAGCGTGGCCCCGGCCAAGAAGGAGAGCAGCGTCTCGCGCAAGGCCCTGGATCAGTCCAGCCGCTACGCGGACCTGTCCCTGGATGAGGCGACTCTCATCAAGAGACCCAGCTGCAGGAACTGTCCAGGCATGTTACTAGGTAAGCTTAAGGTGGCTCTGCTATCCGGTCTGTTGCGGAGGTGTGAAGGCCATGTCGATCAGTGAGATGAGTCATTAGGGCGCAATGTGAAGCTCAGGAACGGCAAGCACGTGCTGGTGGCATACATCATGAAGCCGAAGGCAGGGTACGACTACCTGGCCACCGCCGCCCACTTCGCTGCCGAGTCCTCCACGGGAACCAACGTGAACGTGTGCACCACGGACGACTTCACGAAGTCCGTGGATGCCCTGGTGTACTACATCGACCCCGACAGCGAGGAGATGAAGATCGCCTACCCCAACCTGTTGTTCGACCGCAACATCACCGATGGCCGCGCCATGATGTGCTCTTTCCTGACCTTGTCCATCGGCAACAACCAGGGCTGGGGGCTCAGCTTGGGATGCGAAGTCTGGACTCGCAGCTATAGCTTTCTGTTGGGAGTTGGTGTGTGTTCCTTGCAGTACCTGCGCAGCTAAAGCTGAGGTATGGGTGATGTCGAGTACGGCAAGATCTACGACTTCTACCTGCCCCCTGAGTTCCTCCGCCTGTATGACGGCCCGGCCGTGAACGTGGAGGACATGTGGCGCATCCTGGGCAAGGGCACCAGCAACGGCGGCCTCGTGGTGGGCACCATCATCAAGCCCAAGCTCGGACTGCAGCCCAAGCCATTCGGCGAGGCCTGCTACGCATTCTGGCAGGGTGGCGACTTCATCAAGAACGATGAGCCCCAGGGCAACCAGGTGTTCTGCCAGATGAACGAGGTCATCCCAGAGGTCGTGAAGGCCATGAGGGCGTGCATCAAGGAGACCGGCGTGGGCAAGCTCTTCTCTGCCAACATCACCGCGGATGATCCCAACGAGATGATTGCCCGCGGCAAGTACTGTCTGTCCCAGTTCGGTCCTCTGTCTGAGAATTGCGCGTTCTTGGTGGATGGCTACGTGGCTGGAGGCACGGCCGTGACCTGCGCCCGCCGCAACTTCCCAGGACAGTTCCTGCACTACCACCGTGCCGGACATGGATCCGTGACCAGCCCCCAGACCCAGCGTGGTTACACCGCCTTCGTGCACACCAAGATCTCCCGAGTCATCGGTGCGTCCGGCATCCACACCGGAACCATGAGCTTCGGCAAGATGGAGGGCGATGCCTCGGACAAGAACATCGCCTTCATGCTGCAGGACGACGCGGCCGATGGCCCCTACTACCACCAGCCATGGGAGGGCATGAAGCAGACCACTCCCATCATCTCCGGCGGCATGAACGCCCTGCGCCTGCCGGCCTTCTTCGAGAACCTTGGACACTCCAACGTGATCCTGACCGCCGGTGGCGGCTCCTTCGGCCACAAGGATGGCCCCAAGCCGGGTGCCGTCTCCTGCCGCCAGGGTGAGGAGGCCTGGAAGGCCTGGAAGTCCGGACAGTACGGCAACATCAGCCTGAGCGATGGCGTGATCGAGTTCGCCAAGACCCACGAGGAGATCAAGGGTGCCTTCCTCACCTTCCAGAAGGATGCGGACCAGATCTACCCGGGCTGGAAGGAGAAGCTCGGCTACACCGGCGAGTCGTCCGTGCAGGCGGCCAGCTTCGACTGGGCCAAGAAGGCCTCCGCCGCCGCCTTCGTGGGTGCCAGCGTGGCCCCGGCCAAGAAGGAGAGCAGCGTCTCGCGCAAGGCCCTGGATCAGTCCAGCCGCTACGCGGACCTGTCCCTGGATGAGGCGACTCTCATCAAGAGACCCAGCTGCAGGAACTGTCCAGGCATGTTACTAGGTAAGCTTAAGGTGGCTCTGCTATCCGGTCTGCTGCGGAGGTGTGAAGGCCATGTCGATCAGTGAGATGAGTCATTAGGGCGCAATGTGAAGCTCAGGAACGGCAAGCACGTGCTGGTGGCATACATCATGAAGCCGAAGGCAGGGTACGACTACCTGGCCACCGCCGCCCACTTCGCTGCCGAGTCCTCCACGGGAACCAACGTGAACGTGTGCACCACGGACGACTTCACGAAGTCCGTGGATGCCCTGGTGTACTACATCGACCCCGACAGCGAGGAGATGAAGATCGCCTACCCCAACCTGTTGTTCGACCGCAACATCACCGATGGCCGCGCCATGATGTGCTCTTTCCTGACCTTGTCCATCGGCAACAACCAGGGTTTGGGGCTCAGCTTGGGATGCGAAAGCTGGACTCGCAGCTATAGCTTTCTGTTGGGAGTTGGTGTGTGTTCCTTGCAGTACCTGCGCAGCTAAAGCTGAGGTATGGGTGATGTCGAGTACGGCAAGATCTACGACTTCTACCTGCCTCCTGAGTTCCTCCGCCTGTACGACGGCCCGGCCGTGAACGTGGAGGACATGTGGCGCATCCTGGGCAAGGGCACCAGCAACGGTGGCCTCGTGGTGGGCACCATTATCAAGCCCAAGCTCGGCCTGCAGCCCAAGCCATTTGGCGAGGCCTGCTACGCGTTCTGGCAGGGCGGCGACTTCATCAAGAACGATGAGCCCCAGGGCAACCAGGTGTTCTGCCAGATGAACGAGGTCATCCCAGAGGTCGTGAAGGCCATGAGGGCGTGCATCAAGGAGACCGGCGTGGGCAAGCTCTTCTCTGCCAACATCACCGCGGATGATCCCAACGAGATGATTGCCCGCGGCAAGTACTGCCTGTCCCAGTTCGGTCCTCTGTCCGAGAACTGTGCATTCTTGGTGGATGGCTACGTGGCTGGCGGCACGGCCGTGACCTGCGCCCGCCGCAACTTCCCAGGACAGTTCCTGCACTACCACCGTGCCGGACATGGCTCCGTGACCAGCCCCCAGACCCAGCGTGGTTACACCGCCTTCGTGCACACCAAGATCTCCCGAGTCATCGGTGCGTCCGGCATCCACACCGGGACCATGAGCTTCGGCAAGATGGAGGGCGATGCCTCGGACAAGAACATCGCCTTCATGCTGCAGGACGACGCGGCCGATGGCCCCTACTACCACCAGCCATGGGAGGGCATGAAGCAGACCACCCCCATCATCTCTGGCGGCATGAACGCCCTGCGCCTGCCGGCCTTCTTCGAGAACCTGGGACACTCCAACGTGATCCTGACCGCCGGTGGCGGCTCCTTCGGCCACAAGGATGGCCCCAAGCCGGGTGCCGTCTCCTGCCGCCAGGGTGAGGAGGCCTGGAAGGCCTGGAAGTCCGGACAGTACGGCAACATCAGCCTGAGCGATGGTGTGATCGAGTTCGCCAAGACCCACGAGGAGATCAAGGGTGCCTTCCTCACGTTCCAGAAGGATGCGGACCAGATCTACCCTGGCTGGAAGGAGAAGCTCGGCTACACCGGCGAGTCGTCCGTGCAGGCGGCCAGCTTCGACTGGGCCAAGAAGGCCTGAACCGCCACTTGCTCTCTTGTTCAATGACTTCTTGTTGTTGTTTTGGTACACTGAACAAATCCTATTTTGTAGATAGGAAGGTATAATGGGACATAAGAAGGCCCGAAAGCTCTAGAGCCCTGAAGCAAAGCGGAACCCTGAAGCCCAGGACCTTTCGTGACCGGTGACTAGATTGACCAGAAGATAGCAGGTTCTTAGGATTTTCATGTCTTTGCAACAAAGAATGCTTCTCGCAGTCTCCCATGATGAGCAGAATCCCTGACAATATTGCAGTCACGTATGTCCGGGCTATTTATCATCATTACAGAATCTGCCGGATCTGCTATTTTGTTTCGGCAAGGAGACTGTTTGACTTGCTGGGAGCAATAGTTGCCTCCCAGCTGTTCTGCATCACCTGCCACATTCGTGACCTGAGCGCAGCTCTTCTGCCAAGTGTGACGTCACAATCGAGCCATAGCCATAGGGTACTTGTAAGGGCGCTTGACTGAAGATTCATTCCGGAACGTATAAGAGTTGGCCACGTGAGGCTTTGCGACTTATAGCTGTGCTCTCATCGATGCACCTTTCTCCGGACGGGCGGCGCTGCCCGTCGTCAGTTTTCGCTGGCGTCTGCATCCCTCTGCTTGACTCCTACATACGTGAAGCCAAGGCTGAGTTTTTGAACTTGCGCTTTGCTATGCAGACTCCGGACAATTTTACGAACCAACTCTTTGCACCAGCTAGCACAGGGTTCCAAACCAGGCGGGACGGCTCGAAGAGCACCTGTAAAGTTCGGAAAGTTAGTGAACCCTGATGAATAAGTGACAAGTGCCGCGAGCGACAAAGGCGACAGAGGCGGCTTGTTGCCTGCATCGGATTCCTTGCGATTCTGCAACATTCTGTAAAACTAAACCCTCTAGACATAGAGCTTGAGAGCCAGCGCACGCCTCTCGTCCTCCGCAGCTGCTCGGGTCCAAATACACGGAATTTTTCCTCTCCTTAGGCGCCTCGCTATGGCTCAGCGCCCATCCAACCTGGCCCTCGCTGGGGCGGCCGCAGGCCGATCAAGCCGGCAAAGTCGGAGCCAGGGTTTGCAGGGTTTCATTGAGTTTCGGGTTGATGGGCTTTCGGGGTGAAAGACAATTTCTTCAGAGCAACGTGCTGTGCACGTCTTTCTGGCGGAGCCCCTGATATTCTGGGCGAACCGGAAAGCTTGTGGAGAATGGGCCAGCGACTGCATCAGCGGAACTGCGACTTGGAAGGTTTTTTGAGGCCTTGAGGCCTTTGAGCCCTGAATCCCAAGCCCTTACGGACCTCTTAGCGACAGGCGGACTCGCGCTGCTGGGTTCCACCGCCGATGCCTTCGTTGCAGCGCCGCGGGAGGCATCGGTAGTAAGAGTGTAGTAAGTGGCGATCCTGATTTGTCGATACTTGTAGACTAGTAGCAGTATGATTCTTATGATGCTGTATGGTTTGCCGGGCTTCCGGGATTTTGAGTTCAACCCTAGCGGTTGATCCTAACCCTGAACCCGGAACCTCGCGGTCTCAGAGCATACAGCCTACCTTCACAGCTTTACCACCCACCCAAAATGGACTACTCCCTTCCCGCAGATGTGTGCCTCGAAACCCTCTAAACCACACGACCTTTTTCGGCGTGTCAGGACATTCCCCAAAGTCCCCTTCCCTATGTCGTGGCCACGCCAAGTGGAGGCCGGTGCGCCAAGCCTCCGTGGCACCTCCCTGGCCCAGGCGCAGGCTTGGGCTTGGCGTGAGGGCTTAGGCTTATAGGGTTCGGGGGGGGAATACAGACGCCGTATCATGCACTGCAAGAGTGTGCAAGATACGATAGCATGTTATGCAAAACGATGATGTGCGATTTTGTGCCAGGTGAGGGGGTGGGGGTGGGGGATGGGGGGTGGAGGTTTCGGCGGGGGCAGGTGGCGGAGTTGTGGGGTTTGTGGGCTGCCCCCCCTGTGCGGGTCTCACCTTTACGGCTCACGAAGGAGCAGCCCCACAGCCCTGAAGCAAACCTTTCAAGGCTTTCTGGCAACTCCAGCATTGAAGTCTTGCGAGGTGCAGGGAACAAGCACCGGCAGCTCCTCCTTCGCTGTGCCTCGGCTGGGGGGGGGGGTTTTGGGGCCTACCCGGGGTTTAGGCTTGGGCCAAGAGCCCAAGAGCCCTCCGATCCCCGCAAGTTTTTACGAGGAATGAGTCAGGATAGCTTGCCACTTTAGACGGGAAATGAAGCCAATCCCCATACGGCCGTACCGCGCACCCTAAACCCTAAACCAGAAGTTCGAAACCGAGGCGTGTGGCCAGAGACATGACCCTGAAGCACATGCATACGGTTTGGGGGCAGCCAAGGCCCTTGCCGCCGGCGGTGCCGTTGCCGCGGCCGCTGTGGCCGCCGGTCGCCCAGGCAGCGGGCCGTTGAGGGTTCAGGGTTCAGGGCCAACCAATGTGTACACCGCAAAGCCTGGGGCATCTAGATGAACGGTTTAACAAGGATGAACTGATGAGCTCTTGACTCACCCTCTACTGTGAGAGCTGTTGTGCGGTTGCGGGCTTTGGGGTTCGGGTCTGGGGGCACCTAACCCTTGAAGGACGCCAGACGCGAAGCTCTGTCCTTCCTACCACAGTGGTGCCGGTGAAGGACTTCTTGATCGCAGGGCTTGTTTTCCCCTACAAGACCTCCCCCAGGCCCTACATGCCTTCAAAGGGTATTTCTCCGAGAGCATCGGCGACAACGGATGAGGGATGTGAGGTTTAAAGGGTTTAAAGGGATTTTGTTGTGACTCAGACTGCCGCAAGTTTCTGCTTTGCGCATGTTTTTTTTTCAAGGACAGCCGGGTGGCACGCAAAGCCCTTGACCAATCCAGCCGCTATGCGGACCTGTCCCTGGACGAAGCGACCCTGATCAAGACACCCAGCTGCAAGTTCTGCAATGTTGCTTGCCCAGCATACTGTCGTATCACTCTCCCACGCCCCCGCATCCCTCTCTCACTCCCTCTCTCTCGCATGCTCTCTCTCGCTCTCCCTCTCACATTGTTTATGTTTGTGCTGGTGTGCGCCTGCTGCTTGCTTCTCTGCAAGGAATGGCAAGCACGTGCTGGTGGCGTACATCATGAAGCCGAAGGCAGGGTACGACTACCTGGCCACTGCGGCCCACTTCGCCGCCGAGTCCTCCACGGGCACCAACGTGAACGTGTGCACCACGGACGACTTCACGAAGTCCGTGGATGCCCTGGTGTACTACATCGACCCCGACAGCGAGGAGATGAAGATCGCCTACCCCAACCTTCTGTTCGATCGCAACATCACCGATGGTCGCGCCATGATGTGCTCCTTCCTGACCTTGTCCATCGGCAACAACCAGGGTTTGGGGCTCAGTTTTGTGTGCGGACGTCTTAAAGCAGTGTTGACATTCTGCTCAGATTTGGCGTTGCATGTGCGCAGAAGCCGCTAAGGTATGGGCGACGTCGAGTACGGCAAGATCTACGATTTCTACCTGCCCCCTGAGTTCCTCCGCCTGTACGACGGCCCGGCCGTGAACGTGGAGGACATGTGGCGCATCCTGGGCAAGGGCACCAGCAACGGTGGCCTCGTGGTGGGCACCATCATCAAGCCCAAGCTCGGACTGCAGCCCAAGCCATTCGGCGAGGCCTGCTACGCATTCTGGCAGGGTGGCGACTTCATCAAGAACGATGAGCCCCAGGGCAACCAGGTGTTCTGCCAGATGAACGAGGTCATCCCAGAGGTTGTGAAGGCCATGAGGGCGTGCATCAAGGAGACCGGCGTGGGCAAGCTCTTCTCTGCCAACATCACCGCGGACGATCCCAACGAGATGATTGCCCGCGGCAAGTACTGTCTGTCCCAGTTCGGTCCTCTGTCCGAGAACTGCGCGTTCTTGGTGGATGGCTATGTGGCTGGAGGCACGGCCGTGACGTGCGCCCGCCGCAACTTCCCAGGACAGTTCCTGCACTACCACCGTGCCGGACATGGATCCGTGACCAGCCCCCAGACCCAGCGTGGTTACACCGCCTTCGTGCACACCAAGATCTCCCGAGTCATCGGTGCATCCGGCATCCACACCGGCACCATGAGCTTCGGCAAGATGGAGGGCGATGCCTCGGACAAGAACATTGCCTTCATGCTGCAGGACGACGCGGCCGATGGCCCCTATTACCACCAGCCTTGGGAGGGCATGAAGCAGACCACTCCCATCATCTCCGGCGGCATGAACGCCCTGCGCCTGCCGGCCTTCTTCGAGAACCTTGGACACTCCAACGTGATCCTGACCGCCGGTGGCGGCTCCTTCGGCCACAAGGATGGCCCCAAGCCGGGTGCCGTCTCCTGCCGCCAGGGTGAGGAGGCCTGGAAGGCCTGGAAGTCCGGACAGTACGGCAACATCAGCCTGAGCGATGGCGTGATCGAGTTCGCCAAGACCCACGAGGAGATCAAGGGTGCCTTCCTGACCTTCCAGAAGGATGCGGACCAGATCTACCCGGGCTGGAAGGAGAAGCTCGGCTACACCGGCGAGTCGTCCGTGCAGGCGGCCAGCTTCGACTGGGCCAAGAAGGCCTCCGCGGCGGCCTTCGTGGGTGCCAGCGTGGCCCCGGCCAAGAAGGAGAGCAGCGTCTCGCGCAAGGCCCTGGATCAGTCCAGCCGCTACGCGGACCTGTCCCTGGATGAGGCGACTCTCATCAAGAGACCCAGCTGCAGGAACTGTCCAGGCATGTTAGAAAGGTATGTTTAAGGTGGCTCTGCTGTCCGGTCTGTTACGGAGGTGTGAAAGCCATGTCGGTCAGTGAGGCGAGTCATTAGGGCGCAATGCGTACTCAGGAACGGCAAGCACGTGCTGGTGGCGTACATCATGAAGCCGAAGGCAGGGTACGACTACCTGGCCACCGCCGCCCACTTCGCTGCCGAGTCCTCCACGGGCACCAACGTGAACGTGTGCACCACTGACGACTTCACGAAGTCCGTGGATGCCCTGGTGTACTACATCGACCCCGACAGCGAGGAGATGAAGATCGCCTACCCCAACCTTCTGTTCGATCGCAACATCACCGATGGTCGCGCCATGATGTGCTCCTTCCTGACCTTGTCCATCGGCAACAACCAGGGTTTGGGGCTCAGTTTTGTGTGCGGACGTCTGAAAGCAGTGTTGACATTCTGCTCAGATTTGGCATTGCATGTGCGCAGAAGCCGCTAAGGTATGGGCGACGTCGAGTACGGCAAGATCTACGATTTCTACCTGCCCCCTGAGTTCCTCCGCCTGTACGACGGCCCGGCCGTGAACGTGGAGGACATGTGGCGCATCCTGGGCAAGGGCACCAGCAACGGTGGCCTCGTGGTGGGCACCATCATCAAGCCCAAGCTCGGCCTGCAGCCCAAGCCATTCGGCGAGGCCTGCTACGCATTCTGGCAGGGTGGCGACTTCATCAAGAACGATGAGCCCCAGGGCAACCAGGTGTTCTGCCAGATGAACGAGGTCATCCCAGAGGTTGTGAAGGCCATGAGGGCGTGCATCAAGGAGACCGGCGTGGGCAAGCTCTTCTCTGCCAACATCACCGCGGACGATCCCAACGAGATGATTGCCCGCGGCAAGTACTGCCTGTCCCAGTTCGGTCCTCTGTCTGAGAATTGCGCGTTCTTGGTGGATGGCTACGTGGCTGGAGGCACGGCCGTGACCTGCGCCCGCCGCAACTTCCCGGGGCAGTTCCTGCACTACCACCGTGCCGGACATGGATCCGTGACCAGCCCCCAGACCCAGCGTGGTTACACCGCCTTCGTGCACACCAAGATCTCCCGAGTCATCGGTGCGTCCGGCATCCACACCGGAACCATGAGCTTCGGCAAGATGGAGGGCGATGCCTCGGACAAGAACATCGCCTTCATGCTGCAGGACGACGCGGCCGATGGCCCCTACTACCACCAGCCATGGGAGGGCATGAAGCAGACCACTCCCATCATCTCCGGCGGCATGAACGCCCTGCGCCTGCCGGCCTTCTTCGAGAACCTGGGACACTCCAACGTGATCCTGACCGCCGGTGGCGGCTCCTTCGGCCACAAGGATGGCCCCAAGCCGGGTGCCGTCTCCTGCCGCCAGGGTGAGGAGGCCTGGAAGGCCTGGAAGTCCGGACAGTACGGCAACATCAGCCTGAGCGATGGCGTGATCGAGTTCGCCAAGACCCACGAGGAGATCAAGGGTGCCTTCCTGACCTTCCAGAAGGATGCGGACCAGATCTACCCGGGCTGGAAGGAGAAGCTCGGCTACACCGGCGAGTCGTCCGTGCAGGCGGCCAGCTTCGACTGGGCCAAGAAGGCCTCCGCGGCGGCCTTCGTGGGTGCCAGCGTGGCCCCGGCCAAGAAGGAGAGCAGCGTCTCGCGCAAGGCCCTGGATCAGTCCAGCCGCTACGCGGACCTGTCCCTGGATGAGGCGACTCTCATCAAGAGACCCAGCTGCAGGAACTGTCCAGGCATGTTAGAAAGGTATGTTTAAGGTGGCTCTGCTGTCCGGTCTGTTACGGAGGTGTGAAAGCCATGTCGGTCAGTGAGGCGAGTCATTAGGGCGCAATGCGTACTCAGGAACGGCAAGCACGTGCTGGTGGCGTACATCATGAAGCCGAAGGCAGGGTACGACTACCTGGCCACCGCCGCCCACTTCGCTGCCGAGTCCTCCACGGGCACCAACGTGAACGTGTGCACCACTGACGACTTCACGAAGTCCGTGGATGCCCTGGTGTACTACATCGACCCCGACAGCGAGGAGATGAAGATCGCCTACCCCAACCTTCTGTTCGACCGCAACATCATCGATGGTCGCGCCATGATGTGCTCCTTCCTGACCTTGTCCATCGGCAACAACCAGGGTTTGGGGCTCAGTTTTGCGTGCGGACGTCTGAAAGCAGTGTTGACATTCTGCTCAGATTTGGCGTTGCATGTGCGCAGAAGCCGCTAAGGTATGGGCGACGTCGAGTACGGCAAGATCTACGATTTCTACCTGCCCCCTGAGTTCCTCCGCCTGTACGACGGCCCGGCCGTGAACGTGGAGGACATGTGGCGCATCCTGGGCAAGGGCACCAGCAACGGTGGCCTCGTGGTGGGCACCATCATCAAGCCCAAGCTCGGCCTGCAGCCCAAGCCATTCGGCGAGGCCTGCTACGCATTCTGGCAGGGTGGCGACTTCATCAAGAACGATGAGCCCCAGGGCAACCAGGTGTTCTGCCAGATGAACGAGGTCATCCCAGAGGTTGTGAAGGCCATGAGGGCGTGCATCAAGGAGACCGGCGTGGGCAAGCTCTTCTCTGCCAACATCACCGCGGACGATCCCAACGAGATGATTGCCCGTGGCAAGTACTGCCTGTCCCAGTTCGGTCCTCTGTCTGAGAATTGCGCGTTCTTGGTGGATGGCTACGTGGCTGGAGGCACGGCCGTGACCTGCGCCCGCCGCAACTTCCCAGGGCAGTTCCTGCACTACCACCGTGCCGGACATGGATCCGTGACCAGCCCCCAGACCCAGCGTGGTTACACCGCCTTCGTGCACACCAAGATCTCCCGAGTCATCGGTGCGTCCGGCATCCACACCGGAACCATGAGCTTCGGCAAGATGGAGGGCGATGCCTCGGACAAGAACATCGCCTTCATGCTGCAGGACGACGCGGCCGATGGCCCCTACTACCACCAGCCATGGGAGGGCATGAAGCAGACCACTCCCATCATCTCCGGCGGCATGAACGCCCTGCGCTTGCCGGCCTTCTTCGAGAACCTTGGACACTCCAACGTGATCCTGACCGCCGGCGGTGGCTCCTTCGGCCACAAGGATGGCCCCAAGCCGGGTGCCGTCTCCTGCCGCCAGGGTGAGGAGGCCTGGAAGGCCTGGAAGTCCGGACAGTACGGCAACATCAGCCTGAGCGATGGCGTGATCGAGTTCGCCAAGACCCACGAGGAGATCAAGGGTGCCTTCCTGACCTTCCAGAAGGATGCGGACCAGATCTACCCGGGCTGGAAGGAGAAGCTCGGCTACACCGGCGAGTCGTCCGTGCAGGCGGCCAGCTTCGACTGGGCCAAGAAGGCCTGAATCGCCACTCGCGCTTTTGTTTTGTAACTTTTCTGTTGTTTGGTACACTAAACCTACATGAATTCTGGGAACATGCTGCACAAATAAAGACTCCGAAGCCCAAGAATCCCTGAAGAAAAGCGGGACCCTGAAGCCCAGGACCTTGTGCCACCGGTGACCAGAAGGTAGGCAGCTTAGCCTTGAGCAGTCTTTTAGAATTTCAAAATTTCAAAGCCTTCGCGACAAAGAATTCTTCACACAGTCTCCATGATGAGCAGACTCCCTGGGCAATATCTATTTGTCGATCTGCAGTTTGTTTCGGCGAGGAGACTTTGAGAGTTGCCGGGAGCAATAGTTGGCTCCCAGCTGTTCCCTGAGCGTAGCTCTTCTTCCAAGTGCCACGTCGCAATCGAGCCATAGTGATAGGGTACCTTTCAGAGGGCGCCTTAACTGAAGATTGATTCTGGAAACAAAAAGGTGGCCAAGTGAAGCTCTGCGACTTAGCGGTGGTCTCATCGACGCACCTTTCTCCAAGCAGACGGGTGGCGCTGCCCGTCGTCAGTTTTCGGTGGCGTCTCCAAACACCAAACTCTTTGCATCAGCTAGGGTTCCAAACCGGGCCAGCTCGAAGAGCACCTGTTAAAGTTCGGAAAGTTAGTTGCGCGCGACAAAGGCGACAGAGGTGGTGTTGCCTGTGAGAGGCCGCAGGCCGCAGATGTCGTCTTCAAGTTGACATCCCACGTAGGAATACACATACCATGAGCCGATAAGGCTGGCCCGAGACCCCACTTGGAGAACCCAGCTATAACCACATTCGGGTACTTCAGGGGCTTTTGAGTGGGTTATAAGGTATAAGTGCAGTCTCACTTGGGTCATAAGTACCATGAACCTGCAAGTAGAGAACCGAAGCCCATGCCGAGGCGTCCTCTGCAGCTGCTCGGGTCCAAGTACAAGGAATTTTTCCTCTCCGTAGGCGCCTCGCTATGGCTCAGCGCCCATCCAACCTGGCCCTTGCTGGGGCGGCCGCAGGCCGATCAAACCGGCAGTTGAGATTTGTTCTGCAGGGGCAAGAAAGAACGTTGTTGAAGGGGTTTTTGGGGTTGAGAGTTCACCGAAGCCCAAGTATGCCATGTGCGAAACGCCCTTGATCAACACCCAGAATGCTGGGGACCAATGAACCCCAAGCCCTGAACCGCATCTCCCTAGAAGCCCTGAACCTAGACCCTGAACAACCAAAGTCCCCCCAAGCGAGCCGGAAACTTCGCGCAGACACTGGCAAGTGCCTTAAAATTTCGGCGCGAGATGCACATCCGCATGCAGTCAAGTGGGCACTAGACCTCTAGACCACGCCGCGAAGTGAGCCGCTATAGCCCTGAACCCTAAGCCCTTACGGACCTCTTAGAGACAGGCGGACTCGCGCTGCTGGGTTCTACCGCCGATGCCTTCGTTGCGGCGCCGCGGGAGGCGTCGCTGCCAACAGAACTACAGCATAGGATCGCGACCCTGATTTGTCGATACTTGTAAACTAGTAGCTGTATGATTCTTATCACCCTCCCCCCCCCCCACTGGGGTGGGGTCGAGAGCTCGCAAACGCAGGCGAGTGCGCCGGGCCTCCGTGGCACCTCCCTAGCGCAGACGCAGGCTTGGACTTGGCGTTGAAGGTTGAGGGCTTCGCGGAAACCGTCGGAAACCATTTCCTGCCCTCTGATGCGTAACTGTAAACGCCGCGGGGCCCCGGCCCGTCAGTTTCAGTTAGGGACTTTTGGCCTCCGGTCCCTCGGCCCCACAAAGGGATCGCCCCGCTTTCTGTAAACGGGTAGCGGGCCGAGGCGCATGTACGACAGAATGCCACAAAAAGTGCAAGACGTCCATATGCGATAGTATGTCAGAGTGTAGGAAACATGAGAACATGTGATGTTCGGAGGTAGGTGGTGGAACTCTGAGGGGTTTGCGGGGGTGCTCTTCCTTTTTTGGGGCCCCACGTCCTGCTTTGGGTTTCAGCGGTCTGTGCCCTGAGCGTGTGCTGTGTGCCTAAGTCCTGAACCCTAAACCCTAAACCCTAAACCCTAAACCCTAAACCCTAAACCCTAAACCCTAAGCCCCAACTCGCCTCTGGCAACTCCATCATTTGAAGCTTTGCGAGGCGCAGAGCGCAAGCTCCGGCAGCTCCTCCTTTGCCGTGCCTCGGCTGGGAATGTTTGGGGGTTTTGGGGCTTTGGGGTTAGGGTTTAGGGTTTAGGGTTTAGGGTGTAGGGTTTAGAGTTTAGGGTTTAGGGTTTAGGGCCCTGAACCCTAAACCTAAAACCTATTGTGGGGCCCTAACAACCCTAAGGCTGCTCCAAACCGTCTGCGCCCGGGCTTTAGGCCAGCGCTCGATTGCCCTCCTTGGGCAAGACTCGTCGGCCTAAGCGACAGAAACCCAAGCCCGAGGCGGATGCTGAGGCAACACCCGTGCGTTGGGATGTTCCCCCCTTATACTAACAGTCCTTAGTAGGGATTCCAGTACTCCCCCCCACCTCTGGTAGAATCCCTATCAAGGAGCTTTTAGTCTAAGGGTGAACATCCCTAAACCCTAAACCCCAAACCCCAAACCCTAAACCCTAAACCCTAAACCCTAAACCCTAAACCCTAAACCCTAAACCCCAAACCCCAAACCCTAAACCCCAAACCCCTTGATAGGGGGAACATCCCCAAGCCAAGCCCAGGCCTTGGCCGCTGGCGGTGCCGTTGCTGCGGCCGCTGTGGCCTCTGGCCGCCCAGGCAGCGGGCCGTTGACGGTTGAGGGTGATACCCTAAACCCTAAACCCTAAACCCCAAACCCTAAACCCCAAACCCTAAACCCTAAACCCTAAACCCTAAACCCTAAACCCTAAACCCTAAACCCTAATTGCGAAACCCTAGGCCCTAAACCCAAGACCCAACCTCCAGGTACGTATCAGCCCTGGAGCCTCTGCGATTCAAGATGTATGGTTAAGCAGGGATGAACCCTTAAGCCACATCAAGCTTTTGGGGTTCTAGAGCTTGGGGCCTTTGTTCAGCCTAAGGCCCAAGCCCTCGACTCTGAATGGCTCTGAACTCCTTTACAGCAGCGCTCTCGGGCTCTAGTCCAGGCATCTAAGCAAAACCTGAAGCCCTCTAAAGCCTGAACACTGCATAGCAAGAAGACTTCGTCTGGAGCAGAGGACGCACTCTGCGGGCTGAGGTTGCTTATGTGATTATGTGTAGCCAATTGGGCAAGCAGCTTTTCGGTTGGCTTCTGCAACCCCGGTGACAGATGATTGGAACGAGTCTGAGGAGCTCTCAAGTCCAAATGTTGGGAAAGAGCTGAGGATTCTCGGGTTGAATGTGGGCTTTCGGGCCAAGGGCAGGTCTGGCTGTCCCAATGGCAGGTAGCATGGGGCCTGCCCCTGTGTGCTTTGTGCTTGGGCTTCGCCGACTTGGATGCAGATGGTGGTGTGAGGCTGCGAAGTTCGTGGCTGGAAACGTCGGTCGTCGTCCGGTAGTGGGCCCACGGCTGCTCTGGATCGCGGCGTCACTGAGCCATGCGCACCCTGAAGAGAACCTGAAACATAAGCCTTTCAAGCCCAAACCCAAAAGAAAAACCCAAAAATCACACACCCGACTGTCCCAAAGCCCTAAGCCCCGAACCACGAGCATCATGGAACCTAAGCTTTCTTGGGGTCTCAGGGATCTCCTACAAATGAAAGTGGGGGGGGGGATGGGGTTTGGGGGTGGGGGGTGGGGGCTGGCTTGGCGTAGACTGTAGGCCCTTTTTGGGTATGAGTATCTTCCCGACAGTTGAACCCGTAGAGGAACAGCAGGAACCCGGACACCCCGATGTTTTTGTTTTTTTGTATCTTCCAGGGTTTCAATTTCGATCGACCTTAAGTGCAAGGACGCCAGACACGAAGCTCTGTGCTTCCTACCACAGTGGTGCCGGTGAAGGACTTCTGGATCCCAGGGCCCTTAAAGCCCCAGGTTTAGGGTTTAGGGTTTAGTGCTGCCAGCTTCTGCTTTGTGCACTTGTCGTCCAGGACAGCCGGGTGACACGCAAGGCCCTTGACCAATCCAGCCGCTATGCAGACCTGTCCTTGGACGAAGCGACCCTGATCAAGACACCCAGCTGCAAGTTTTGCGCTGCCGTAGTATGCTTAGCCCAGCATACTGTCGTATTCGCTCTCCCTCTGTCAATTGTTCTTGTTTGTGCTTGTGCGTGCTTGCTGCTTGCTTCTCTGTAAGGAACGGCAAGCATGTGCTGGTGGCGTACATCATGAAGCCGAAGGCAGGGTACGACTACCTGGCCACTGCGGCCCACTTCGCAGCCGAGTCCTCCACGGGCACCAACGTGAACGTGTGCACCACTGACGACTTCACGAAGTCCGTGGATGCCCTGGTGTACTACATCGACCCCGACAGCGAGGAGATGAAGATCGCCTACCCCAACCTGTTGTTTGACCGCAACATCATCGATGGCCGCGCCATGATGTGCTCCTTCCTGACCTTATCCATCGGCAACAACCAGGGCTTGGCGCTCGGTTTAGGATGCCGTCTGAAATCGTAGACTTTCTGTTGAGATTTGTGCTGTGTGTTTGCAGTAGCTTGAGATGAGGCATGGGTGACGTCGAGTACGGCAAGATCTACGACTTCTACCTGCCTCCTGAGTTCCTCCGCCTGTACGACGGCCCGGCCGTGAACGTGGAGGACATGTGGCGCATCCTGGGCAAGGGCACCAGCAACGGTGGCCTCGTGGTGGGCACCATTATCAAGCCCAAGCTCGGCCTGCAGCCCAAGCCATTCGGCGAGGCCTGCTACGCGTTCTGGCAGGGCGGCGACTTCATCAAGAACGATGAGCCCCAGGGCAACCAGGTGTTCTGCCAGATGAACGAGGTCATCCCAGAGGTCGTGAAGGCCATGAGGGCGTGCATCAAGGAGACCGGCGTGGGCAAGCTCTTCTCTGCCAACATCACCGCGGATGATCCCAACGAGATGATTGCCCGCGGCAAGTACTGCCTGTCCCAGTTCGGTCCTCTGTCCGAGAACTGCGCGTTCTTGGTGGACGGCTATGTGGCTGGAGGCACGGCCGTGACTTGCGCCCGCCGCAACTTCCCAGGGCAGTTCCTGCACTACCACCGTGCCGGACATGGATCCGTGACTAGCCCCCAGACCCAGCGTGGTTACACCGCCTTCGTGCACACCAAGATCTCCCGAGTCATCGGTGCATCCGGCATCCACACCGGCACCATGAGCTTCGGCAAGATGGAGGGCGATGCCTCCGACAAGAACATCGCCTTCATGCTGCAGGATGACGCGGCCGATGGCCCCTATTACCACCAGCCGTGGGAGGGCATGAAGCAGACCACCCCCATCATCTCTGGCGGCATGAACGCCCTGCGACTGCCGGCCTTCTTCGAGAACCTGGGACACTCCAACGTGATCCTGACCGCCGGTGGCGGCTCCTTCGGCCACAAGGATGGCCCCAAGCCGGGTGCCGTCTCCTGCCGACAGGGTGAGGAGGCCTGGAAGGCCTGGAAGTCCGGACAGTACGGCAACATCAGCCTGAGCGATGGCGTGATCGAGTTCGCCAAGACCCACGAGGAGATCAAGGGTGCCTTCCTGACCTTCCAGAAGGATGCGGACCAGATCTACCCGGGCTGGAAGGAGAAGCTCGGCTACACCGGTGAGTCGTCCGTGCAGGCGGCCAGCTTCGACTGGGCCAAGAAAGCCTCCGCCGCCGCCTTCGTGGGTGCCAGCGTGGCCCCGGCCAAGAAGGAGAGCAGCGTCTCGCGCAAGGCCCTTGACCAGTCCAGCCGCTATGCGGACCTTTCCCTGGATGAGGCGACTCTCATCAAGTGACTCAGCTCATAGATGCAACAGGCACGTTGCAAGCACGCACGTGTTGTGAGTCACCCATGCCGTCTTTCTTTTATTTGCTTGGGTTTGAAGGGTATTGGTTCTGTGGAGTAGGCGGCTAATCTTAAGGAACGGCAAGCACGTGCTGGTGGCGTACATCATGAAGCCGAAGGCAGGGTACGACTACCTGGCCACCGCGGCCCACTTCGCAGCCGAGTCCTCCACGGGCACCAACGTGAACGTGTGCACCACTGACGACTTCACGAAGTCCGTGGATGCCCTGGTGTACTACATCGACCCCGACAGCGAGGAGATGAAGATCGCCTACCCCAACCTGTTGTTTGACCGCAACATCATCGATGGCCGCGCCATGATGTGCTCCTTCCTGACCCTATCCATCGGCAACAACCAGGGCTTGGCGCTCGGTTTAGGATGCCGTCTGAAATCGTAGACTTTCTGTTGAGATTTGTGTTGTGTGTTTGCAGTAGCTTGAGATGAGGTATGGGTGACGTCGAGTACGGCAAGATCTACGACTTCTACCTGCCCCCTGAGTTCCTCCGCCTGTACGACGGCCCGGCCGTGAACGTGGAGGACATGTGGCGCATCCTGGGCAAGGGCACCAGCAATGGTGGCCTCGTGGTGGGCACCATCATCAAGCCCAAGCTCGGCCTGCAGCCCAAGCCATTCGGCGAGGCCTGCTACGCATTCTGGCAGGGTGGCGACTTCATCAAGAACGATGAGCCCCAGGGCAACCAGGTGTTCTGCCAGATGAACGAGGTCATCCCAGAGGTTGTGAAGGCCATGAGGGCCTGCATCAAGGAGACCGGCGTGGGCAAGCTCTTCTCTGCCAACATCACCGCGGATGATCCCAACGAGATGATTGCCCGCGGCAAGTACTGCCTGTCCCAGTTCGGACCTCTGTCCGAGAACTGCGCGTTCTTGGTGGACGGCTATGTGGCTGGAGGCACGGCCGTGACTTGCGCCCGCCGCAACTTCCCAGGACAGTTCCTGCACTACCACCGTGCCGGACATGGATCCGTGACTAGCCCCCAGACCCAGCGTGGTTACACCGCCTTCGTGCACACCAAGATCTCCCGAGTCATCGGTGCATCCGGCATCCACACCGGCACCATGAGCTTCGGCAAGATGGAGGGCGATGCCTCCGACAAGAACATCGCCTTCATGCTGCAGGATGACGCGGCCGATGGCCCCTATTACCACCAGCCGTGGGAGGGCATGAAGCAGACCACCCCCATCATCTCTGGCGGCATGAACGCCCTGCGACTGCCGGCCTTCTTCGAGAACCTGGGACACTCCAACGTGATCCTGACCGCCGGTGGCGGCTCCTTCGGCCACAAGGATGGCCCCAAGCCGGGTGCCGTCTCCTGCCGACAGGGTGAGGAGGCCTGGAAGGCCTGGAAGTCCGGACAGTACGGCAACATCAGCCTGAGCGATGGCGTGATCGAGTTCGCCAAGACCCACGAGGAGATCAAGGGTGCCTTCCTCACGTTCCAGAAGGATGCGGACCAGATCTACCCGGGCTGGAAGGAGAAGCTCGGCTACACCGGTGAGTCGTCCGTGCAGGCGGCCAGCTTCGACTGGGCCAAGAAAGCCTCCGCCGCCGCCTTCGTGGGTGCCAGCGTGGCCCCGGCCAAGAAGGAGAGCAGCGTCTCGCGCAAGGCCCTTGACCAGTCCAGCCGCTATGCGGACCTTTCCCTGGATGAGGCGACTCTCATCAAGTGACTCAGCTCATAGATGCAACAGGCACGTTGCAAGCACGCACGTGTTGTGAGTCACCCATGCCGTCTTTCTTCTATTTGCTTGGGTTTGAAGGGTATTGGTTCTGTGGAGTAGGCGGCTAATCTTAAGGAACGGCAAGCACGTGCTGGTGGCGTACATCATGAAGCCGAAGGCAGGGTACGACTACCTGGCCACCGCGGCCCACTTCGCAGCCGAGTCCTCCACGGGCACCAACGTGAACGTGTGCACCACTGACGACTTCACGAAGTCCGTGGATGCCCTGGTGTACTACATCGACCCTGACAGCGAGGAGATGAAGATCGCCTACCCCAACCTGTTGTTCGACCGCAACATCATCGATGGCCGCGCCATGATGTGCTCCTTCCTGACCCTATCCATCGGCAACAACCAGGGCTTGGCGCTCGGTTTAGGATGCGTCTGCAATCGAAGACTTTCTGTTGAGGTTTGATGAGGTTAGTGCTGTGCGTTTGCAGTAGCTTGAGATGAGGCATGGGTGACGTCGAGTACGGCAAGATCTACGACTTCTACCTGCCCCCTGAGTTCCTCCGCCTGTACGATGGCCCGGCCGTGAACGTGGAGGACATGTGGCGTATCCTTGGCAAGGGCACCAGCAATGGTGGCCTCGTGGTGGGCACCATCATCAAGCCCAAGCTCGGCCTGCAGCCCAAGCCATTCGGCGAGGCCTGCTACGCATTCTGGCAGGGCGGCGACTTCATCAAGAACGATGAGCCCCAGGGCAACCAGGTGTTCTGCCAGATGAACGAGGTCATCCCAGAGGTCGTGAAGGCCATGAGGGCCTGCATCAAGGAGACCGGCGTGGGCAAGCTCTTCTCTGCCAACATCACTGCGGATGATCCCAACGAGATGATTGCCCGCGGCAAGTACTGCCTGTCCCAGTTCGGACCTCTGTCCGAGAACTGTGCGTTCTTGGTGGACGGCTATGTGGCTGGAGGCACGGCCGTGACTTGCGCCCGCCGCAACTTCCCAGGACAGTTCCTGCACTACCACCGTGCCGGACATGGATCCGTGACTAGCCCCCAGACCCAGCGTGGTTACACCGCCTTCGTGCACACCAAGATCTCCCGAGTCATCGGCGCGTCCGGCATCCACACCGGCACCATGAGCTTCGGCAAGATGGAGGGCGATGCCTCAGACAAGAACATCGCCTTCATGCTGCAGGACGACGCGGCCGATGGCCCCTACTACCACCAGCCGTGGGAGGGCATGAAGCAGACCACCCCCATCATCTCTGGCGGCATGAACGCCCTGCGCCTGCCGGCCTTCTTCGAGAACCTGGGACACTCCAACGTGATCCTGACCGCCGGCGGTGGCTCCTTCGGCCACAAGGATGGCCCCAAGCCGGGCGCCGTCTCCTGCCGCCAGGGCGAGGAGGCTTGGAAGGCCTGGAAGTCCGGACAGTACGGCAACATCAGCCTGAGCGACGGCGTGATCGAGTTCGCCAAGACCCACGAGGAGATCAAGGGTGCCTTCCTGACCTTCCAGAAGGATGCGGACCAGATCTACCCGGGCTGGAAGGAGAAGCTCGGATACACTGGCGAGTCGTCCGTGCAGGCGGCCAGCTTCGACTGGGCCAAGAAGGCCTGAGTGGATCCTTGCCATGGTGTTTAGCCATACCTGTGACGTTTTTTTTGGCAAGTTGTGTGAGCGACGGAGCCATGGGGGCTGAAGGTTCCTCTACTTGACTTCTTGATCTGTAAGGTCAAGCTGGCTTGTTTCAAAGTCGTGGAGGTTGTCTCGTGAGCATGTATGAGCAGCGTGCAACGCAGCACTACTTGGGAAAGCCACATTTTTGACGAGTTTTCTTGCAGCCTCCACCATGAGCCGAGGCCCGTGCAGCTTTTAGAAAAAATGATGGAAAGATCTACCGTCGTGTCAGGGCCCCGCAAGTTTTGTGCACGAAGTATACAGATCCTACAGATCCGATCGGCAATCTGTTTCGGCACCTGACCATCGTTCCCACCCATTTCGATGCTAGACCATTCGATTGTGTGCCAGAAGACGAAGCATTCTGATGTAGCAGGGACACGGTCTAGCTCTTCCATTCTCCAAGCAGATGGGGAAGCCTGTCTGTCGTTCTCCCTAGGGTCTGCACTGCACCTCTTCCATCAGGGTTTGGGGGGGTTGAAGATTGACGGTTGCTATACTTGCTGGTCAAGCGGTCGCAGGTGCGGTGCAGATGTTAGACCAATTTTATCCCACACCAAGTCTTGCAGGACTTCCAGGGCTAGCCTCAAAAGAGCAACCTGGAAAATTCGGCCTCCTGAGACATTGGCAGCCATGGCGCGACAAAGGCGGGCATCCAGGGACACGTGTCGGTCTGCGCATCGACCCATACTGAGAGCCCGAGGCTCTTTGGAATAATGCATATGATAATAAGCTACATACTAGAACATACTCTCTCTCTCTCTCTCAGCACCTTTAACGTGTAGTATACATGATACATCGTAACGACGATCTTCTTTCATATCACAGATGTTTCATAATATGTCCTCTTGCAAAGCATGGTGAGGCCTGTCCGCAGCTGTGCACTGGGTCAACACACATTTCTCCCCCCTCGTTTTCCGCACCCGCCGTCGCTTGGATGGCACGCCCATCCAATCTTGCCCTTGCCGGGGCGGCCGCAGGCGCAGCGGCGGCAAGTACTGTAATGTGCCATATTGCATAATACATATTTGCACACATACTACTATACGTTACATGCTGAATATCTTGTTAATGCATATCGTATCTAACACGTTGTACTACATTTTTCCGGCGGATTGACAACAGATAATAGATACATGTTCTCTGATGCCTTTTCGGGTGCAAGCCCAGATAATATTTGTTTCCACGGGAGGCCCCAACTCCCGAACCCCCCCTTAGCCCTGAAGCCCTACACCCTAATAAACCCTAAACCCTAAAACCCTAAAACCCTTAAACCCCTGAAACCCTAAAACCCTAAAACCCTAAACCCCTAAAACCCCAAAACCCCAAAACCCTAAAAACCCTAAAACCCTAAAACCCTAAAACCCTAAAACCCTAAAAACTCAAAAACCCTAAACCCTAAAACCCTAAAACCCTAAAACCCTAAAACCCTGACACCCTAAAACCCTAAAACCCTAAAACTTATCTAAGTTCTAGAGATATGTGGGGTATGGTTTCTAGTCCAGCTAGAGGGGTCTAGACGTCAGGGCTTTGACGGGGCGACGATGGGATGACGATGGCGCGACGACGGGGTGGCGACGGGGCGACGACGGTGTGACGACGGCGCAACGACAGGGTGCGATGGCGCGACGACGGGCTGACGACGGGGGGACGACGGCTGTCGCGCCGTCGTCGCGCCGTCGTCGCGCCGTCGTCGCGCCGTCGTCCCGCCGTCGTCCCGCCGTCGTCCCGCCGTCATAAGGCCTAGTTTGGGCTTAAACTAGGCCTTATGACGGGAAATAAGGCCTAGTTTGGGCTAAATAAGGCCTAGTTTGGGCTTAAACTCGGCCTTATGACGGCGTGACGACGGCGCGACGACGGCGCGACGACGACGCGACGACGGCTCGACGACGGCGCGACAGCCGTCGTCCCCCCGTCGTCCCTCCGTCGTCCCCCCGTCGTCCCCCCGTTGTCCCCCCGGCGTCCTGCCGTCGTCCCCCCGTCATCCTGCCGTCGTCCCTCCGTCGTCTTGCCCTCGTCCCTCCGTCGTCCCACCATCGTCCCTCCGTCGTCCCCCTCCGTCGTTTTGCCGTCGTCCTACTTTTGTTGTGTGGACTAACACATATCTTTAGAACTTAGATAACCTAAAACCCTAAAACCCTAAAACCCTAAAACCCTAAAACCCTAAAACCCTAAAACCCTAAAACCCGAAAGCCCTAAAACCCTAAAACCCTAAATCCCTAACTCCCTAAAACCCTTAAACCCTTAAAACCCTAAAACCCTAAAAGCCCTAGAACCCTAAAAACCCTGAAACCCTAAAAACCCTAACACCCTAAAACCCTAGCACCCTAAAGCCCTAAACGAGGCAGCCTCGCCTTGCTCAATGCTGCCGATGCCTTCGTGGCGGCGCCACGCGATGCCTTTTCCCCGGGGCTTCGAGATCAGGGTTCAGGGGTTCAGGGTTTAGGGGTTTAGGGGCTTAGGGTTTAGGGTTTAGAGTTTAGGGTTTAGGGTTTAGGGTTAGGATGTTAGGGTTTTAGGATTGTAGGGTTTTAGGGTTTAGGGTTTAGTGGTTAGGGTGTAGGAATCAGGGTTCGGGGAATTTAGGGGATCTAGGGGTGTAGGGTTTCGGGTTTAGCGCCGGGGCTTGAGGCGATGTAGATAACCATGTAGTTTGTAGGGATTGACATCCAGGATTTTGGGTTTAGGGGGAAGAATCTATGTCAATATGGGATAGTATGGCGTACTTGGGCCCCAGTCTGTCGAAAACGGTCAGTGCGGAGACATCTCTGCAATGATCTGCGCTTCAAAGCATAAGACGAGGCCAAACCTCTTGTTGCGCACATACCAGGGTTTAGGGTTTAGGGTTTAGAGTTTAGGGCTGTGCCAGCCCAAGAGATGGCGAATCCCTACTAAGCGACCAAAGCCCTCGCACAGGTCAAAGCCTAAACTCTAAACCACTTCAAAAACGAAAGAGAGAGAGAGAGAGAGAGTGCCCCTTGGGGCGACCCCTCTTGAGGGGTTAAGCGCGCTGCAAGCAAGCAAGAGGGGAGGGCTATGGGCAGATAGAGAGAAAGAGAGAGCGAGAGAGAGCGCCCCAAGGCCGCGGCACCTAGCCTCCGCGGTACCGTCACACAGGCTCAGGCTCGGATTTCGTTTGAGCGGCTCGGGTTTTCTGAGTGTAGGGTTGTTGGGGGCTGCGGGGTTTTTGATAGTTTCTGGGATTTTCAGGCTGCCAACCCCCTAGAGCTTGCCTCCAGTAGCAGACCTCCGATGTCCCAACCCTGCATTGGGCACTGGGTACAGTGGCAAAACTTGATTGAGCAACAGATCCTCAACACTCATCAACCCCAAAAAGCCCTCAGCCCTAAACCCAACAGACCCTAAGCAATCATGTGGGGGTTTCCGAAATTCGTGTTACCTTATTTGGGGTCCTTATCATCAGGAAATCCTACTATTGGGGAACTCTATTAGGGGGCTCTTATTTTCGCAAACCCCTAAACCCTAGACCCTAAACCCTAAACCCTAACCCCAAAACCCCAAACCCCAAACCCCAAACTAAACCCTAAACCCTAAACCCTAAACCCCAAACCCCAAACCCCAAACCCCAAACCCTAAACCCAAACCCCCCTCGAATGTCAGGTTCCAACTTCGTCCAGCCCAGCGTCCTTCTCGGCGCTCGCTGCCGGCGGCGCCGTGGCGGCGGCAGCTGTGGCTGCCGGCCGGCCAGGCCAGGGCTAAACCCTAAACCCTAAACCCTAAACCCTAAACCCTAAACCCTAAACCCTAAACCCTAATCCCTAAACCCTAAACCCTAAACCCTAAACCCTAAACCCTAAACCCTAAACCCTAAACCCTAAACCCTAAACCCTAAACCAGGGTTAGGGTTACCTCCCCTCACAAAGAAATCACCAGAACAAGGGCCTGCTGTTGCATGGAACAACTAAGGTTCTTTATCCCATGTAAACCCTAAACCTTAAACCCTAAACCCTAAACCCTAAACCCTGAACCCTAAACCCTAAACCCTAAACTTTGGCCCTAAACCCTAAACCCAAAACCCTAAACCCTAAACCCTTGGACTACATAACACTACGAAAAATGCTCCCAAACCCAGAGCCCGGATCCCGAAACCCCAAACCAAGTGATACACACATGCTTGAGCCCAGACCGCCTGTGTTTACGGCTTGTACAGCTGTGTTTGTCTGTTTCGGCTACTATTCTTGTTCTTGTTCTTCTTCCTTCAGGTCTTCATGTTGGCAGTATTCTCGCGATTTTTTATTGTATTTGTTCTTGCTAGTATTGTTTTCTGATTCTTTAAGAACCAGCTTTTTGGCGGGTTACTTTTGATCATGGGTTTTTCTTGTTTGTCCTTCTCGGTCCTCTCACAGTTCTGTTCTCACTCTTATTCTTTTCGAGTATTCTTGCTGTTAGTCTTATTCTATCGTTCTCATGCTTCGTCTGACGATGTTTACTTTCACTCATCTTCTTGCTCTTGTTCATGCACTCATCCTTAATTGTGTTCATAAGTGTCCTTCTCTTTTTTCATATCATCCTCATTCTCCTCCAAACCCTGAAGCCCGAAGCCCTAAACCCTAAGCCCTAAACCCTAAGCGCCAAACCCCTAAAGCCGAAACCCGAAGCCCGAAACCCTAAACCCTAAACCCTATGCCCTAAACTCCGAAGCCCTAAACCCAAGCCCTAAACCCTAAACCCTAAACCCTAAACCCTAAACCCTAAACCCTAAACCCTAAACCCTAAACCCTAAACCCTAAACCCTACGCCCTAAACTCCTGAACCCTAAATACACCATTCGGCCCCAGAGGCCGCCAGTCCCGAAGCTCCCTTCTTCCCACCTCCGTGGTGCCCGTGAAGGAGATGTTTGGGACCCTAAACCCTAGGGTTTAGGGTTTGGGGTTTAGGGTTTAGGGTTTAGGGTTTGGGAACCCTAAACCCTAAACCCCTAAACCCCTAAACCCCTAAACCCTAAACCCCTAAACCCCTAAACCCCTAAACCCCTAAACCCCTAAACCCCTAAACCCCTAAACCCCTAAACCCCTAAACCCCTAAACCCCTAAACCCCTAAAAAGCCCTACACCCCTAAACCCCAAACCCTAAACCCTAAACAGGGTTGAGGGTTGGATGGCTCATGCGTTGTAGGGGAAGTTGCATGTAGGGTAACCATAAAAAATGGTACTCGTAGCTTGTAATCCTACTTACAACAAGCCATGAACCTACCGGAGTTCCAATGTCGCCTCTTAATTAATCTTTTCTCACAACTCTAGCAGACTCTAGCACGTATAATTGAATGACCCGGAGCGCGACCCTGACAGGACAGCAGCGTGACTCGAAAGGCCCTGGACCAGTCCAGCCGCTATGCGGACCTTTCCCTGGATGAGGCGACTCTCATCAAGCCTCTCGTCTCGAAGATGGCAACCTTGTACATGTAGGTTTGCTCAGGTTTGAATCTTTCATTCATTTTGAAGGTAATTATAAAGACAAGTGAACGGCTAAACTGAATAAGGAACGGCAAGCACGTGCTGGTGGCGTACATCATGAAGCCGAAGGCAGGGTACGACTACCTGGCCACCGCCGCCCACTTCGCAGCCGAGTCCTCCACGGGCACCAACGTGAATGTGTGCACCACTGACGACTTCACGAAGTCCGTGGATGCCCTGGTGTACTACATCGACCCCGACAGCGAGGAGATGAAGATCGCCTACCCCAACCTGTTGTTCGACCGCAACATCATCGATGGCCGCGCCATGATGTGCTCCTTCCTGACCTTGTCCATCGGCAACAACCAGGGCTGGGGGCTCAGCTTGGGATGCGAGAGTCTGGAAACGCAGCTAGCTTTCTGTTGGGAGTTGGTTTTGCAGTACCTGCGCAGCTAACGCTGAGGTATGGGTGACGTCGAGTACGGCAAGATCTACGACTTCTACCTGCCCCCTGAGTTCCTCCGCCTGTATGATGGCCCGGCCGTGAACGTGGAGGACATGTGGCGCATCCTGGGCAAGGGCACCAGCAACGGTGGCCTCGTGGTGGGCACCATTATCAAGCCCAAGCTCGGCCTGCAGCCCAAGCCATTCGGCGAGGCCTGCTACGCGTTCTGGCAGGGTGGCGACTTCATCAAGAACGATGAGCCCCAGGGCAACCAGGTGTTCTGCCAGATGAACGAGGTCATCCCAGAGGTTGTGAAGGCCATGAGGGCGTGCATCAAGGAGACCGGCGTGGGCAAGCTGTTCTCTGCCAACATCACCGCGGATGATCCCAACGAGATGATTGCCCGCGGCAAGTACTGCCTGTCCCAGTTCGGACCTCTGTCCGAGAATTGCGCGTTCTTGGTGGATGGCTACGTGGCTGGAGGCACGGCCGTGACTTGCGCCCGCCGCAACTTCCCAGGACAGTTCCTGCACTACCACCGTGCCGGACATGGATCCGTGACCAGCCCCCAGACCCAGCGTGGTTACACCGCCTTCGTGCACACCAAGATCTCCCGAGTCATCGGCGCGTCCGGCATCCACACCGGCACCATGAGCTTCGGCAAGATGGAAGGCGATGCCTCAGACAAGAACATCGCCTTCATGCTGCAGGACGACGCGGCCGATGGCCCCTACTACCACCAGCCATGGGAGGGCATGAAGCAGACCACTCCCATCATCTCCGGTGGCATGAACGCCCTGCGCCTGCCGGCCTTCTTCGAGAACCTGGGACATTCCAACGTGATCCTGACCGCCGGCGGTGGGTCTTTCGGCCACAAGGATGGCCCCAAGCCGGGCGCCGTCTCCTGCCGCCAGGGTGAGGAGGCCTGGAAGGCCTGGAAGTCCGGACAGTACGGCAACATCAGCCTGAGCGATGGCGTGATCGAGTTCGCCAAGACCCACGAGGAGATCAAGGGTGCCTTCCTGACCTTCCAGAAGGATGCGGACCAGATCTACCCTGGCTGGAAGGAGAAGCTCGGCTACACAGGCGAGTCGTCCGTGCAGGCGGCCAGCTTCGACTGGGCGAAGAAGGCCTCCGCCGCCGCCTTCGTGGGTGCCAGCGTGGCCCCTACCAAGAAGGAGAGCAGCGTCTCGCGCAAGGCCCTGGACCAGTCCAGCCGTTATGCGGACCTTTCTCTGGATGAGGCGACTCTCATCAAGCCTCTCGTCGCGAAGATGGCAACCTCTTACATGTAGGTTTGCTCAGGTTTGAACCTTTCATTCATTTTGAAGGTAATTATAAAGACAAGTGAACGGCTAAACTGAATAAGGAACGGCAAGCACGTGCTGGTGGCGTACATCATGAAGCCGAAGGCAGGGTACGACTACCTGGCCACCGCGGCCCACTTCGCAGCCGAGTCCTCCACGGGCACCAACGTGAACGTGTGCACCACTGACGACTTCACGAAGTCCGTGGATGCCCTGGTGTACTACATCGACCCCGACAGCGAGGAGATGAAGATCGCCTACCCCAACCTGTTGTTCGACCGCAACATCATCGATGGCCGCGCCATGATGTGCTCCTTCCTGACCTTGTCCATCGGCAACAACCAGGGCTGGGGGCTCAGCTTGGGATGCGAGCGTCTGCAAGCGCAGCTAGCTTTCTGTTGGGAGTTGGTTTGTGTTCATTGCAGTACCTGCGCAGCTAACGCTGAGGTATGGGTGACGTCGAGTACGGCAAGATCTACGACTTCTACCTGCCCCCTGAGTTCCTCCGCCTGTACGACGGCCCGGCCGTGAACGTGGAGGACATGTGGCGCATCCTGGGCAAGGGCACCAGCAACGGTGGCCTCGTGGTGGGCACCATTATCAAGCCCAAGCTCGGCCTGCAGCCCAAGCCATTCGGCGAGGCCTGCTACGCGTTCTGGCAGGGCGGCGACTTCATCAAGAACGATGAGCCCCAGGGCAACCAGGTGTTCTGCCAGATGAACGAGGTCATCCCAGAGGTTGTGAAGGCCATGAGGGCCTGCATCAAGGAGACCGGCGTGGGCAAGCTCTTCTCTGCCAACATCACCGCGGATGATCCCAACGAGATGATTGCCCGCGGCAAGTACTGCCTGTCCCAGTTCGGACCTCTGTCCGAGAACTGCGCGTTCTTGGTGGATGGCTACGTGGCTGGAGGCACGGCCGTGACTTGCGCCCGCCGCAATTTCCCAGGACAGTTCCTGCACTACCACCGTGCCGGACATGGATCCGTGACCAGCCCCCAGACCCAGCGTGGTTACACCGCCTTCGTGCACACCAAGATCTCCCGAGTCATCGGCGCGTCCGGCATCCACACCGGAACCATGAGCTTCGGCAAGATGGAGGGCGATGCCTCAGACAAGAACATCGCCTTCATGCTGCAGGACGACGCGGCCGATGGCCCCTACTACCACCAGCCATGGGAGGGCATGAAGCAGACCACTCCCATCATCTCCGGTGGCATGAACGCCCTGCGCCTGCCGGCCTTCTTCGAGAACCTGGGACATTCCAACGTGATCCTGACTGCCGGCGGTGGCTCCTTCGGCCACAAGGATGGCCCCAAGCCGGGCGCCGTCTCCTGCCGCCAGGGTGAGGAGGCCTGGAAGGCCTGGAAGTCCGGACAGTACGGCAACATCAGCCTGAGCGACGGCGTGATCGAGTTCGCCAAGACCCACGAGGAGATCAAGGGTGCCTTCCTGACCTTCCAGAAGGATGCGGACCAGATCTACCCGGGCTGGAAGGAGAAGCTCGGATACACTGGCGAGTCGTCCGTGCAGGCGGCCTCCTTCGACTGGGCCAAAAAGGCCTCCGCCGCCGCCTTCGTGGGTGCCAGCGTGGCCCCGGGCAAGAAGGAGAGCAGCGTCTCGCGCAAGGCCCTGGACCAGTCCAGCCGCTATGCGGACCTTTCTCTGGATGAGGCGACTCTCATCAAGTGACTCAGCTGATAGATGCAACAGGCACGTTGCAAGCACGCACGCGTTGTGAGTCACCCGTGCCGTCTTTCTTCTATGTGATTGGGTTTGAAGGGCATTGGTTCTGAGAGGTGTAGGCGGCTAATCTTAAGGAACGGCAAGCACGTGCTGGTGGCGTACATCATGAAGCCGAAGGCAGGGTACGACTACCTGGCCACCGCGGCCCACTTCGCAGCCGAGTCCTCCACGGGCACCAACGTGAACGTGTGCACCACTGACGACTTCACGAAGTCCGTGGATGCCCTGGTGTACTACATCGACCCCGACAGCGAGGAGATGAAGATCGCCTACCCCAACCTGTTGTTCGACCGCAACATCATCGATGGCCGCGCCATGATGTGCTCCTTCCTGACCTTGTCCATCGGCAACAACCAGGGCTGGGGGCTCAGCTTGGGATGCGAGAGTCTGGAAACGCAGCTAGCTTTCTGTTGGGAGTTGGTTTGTGTTCATTGCAGTACCGGCGCAGCTAACGCTGAGGTATGGGTGACGTCGAGTACGGCAAGATCTACGACTTCTACCTGCCCCCTGAGTTCCTCCGCCTGTATGACGGCCCGGCCGTGAACGTGGAGGACATGTGGCGCATCCTGGGCAAGGGCACCAGCAACGGTGGCCTCGTGGTGGGCACCATTATCAAGCCCAAGCTCGGCCTGCAGCCCAAGCCATTCGGCGAGGCCTGCTATGCGTTCTGGCAGGGCGGCGACTTCATCAAGAACGATGAGCCCCAGGGCAACCAGGTGTTCTGCCAGATGAACGAGGTCATCCCAGAGGTTGTGAAGGCCATGAGGGCCTGCATCAAGGAGACCGGCGTGGGCAAGCTGTTCTCTGCCAACATCACCGCGGATGATCCCAACGAGATGATTGCCCGCGGCAAGTACTGCCTGTCCCAGTTCGGACCTCTGTCCGAGAACTGCGCGTTCTTGGTGGATGGCTACGTGGCTGGAGGCACGGCCGTGACCTGCGCCCGCCGCAACTTCCCAGGACAGTTCCTGCACTACCACCGTGCCGGACATGGATCCGTGACTAGCCCCCAGACCCAGCGTGGTTACACCGCCTTTGTGCACACCAAGATCTCCCGAGTTATCGGCGCGTCCGGCATCCACACAGGCACCATGAGCTTCGGCAAGATGGAGGGCGATGCTTCAGACAAGAACATCGCCTTCATGCTGCAGGACGACGCGGCCGATGGCCCCTACTACCACCAGCCATGGGAGGGCATGAAGCAGACCACTCCCATCATCTCCGGTGGCATGAACGCCCTGCGCCTGCCGGCCTTCTTCGAGAACTTGGGACACTCCAACGTGATCCTGACCGCCGGCGGTGGCTCCTTCGGCCACAAGGATGGCCCCAAGCCGGGCGCCGTCTCCTGCCGCCAGGGCGAGGAGGCCTGGAAGGCCTGGAAGTCCGGACAGTACGGCAACATCAGCCTGAGCGACGGCGTGATCGAGTTCGCCAAGACCCACGAGGAGATCAAGGGTGCCTTCCTGACCTTCCAGAAGGATGCGGACCAGATCTACCCGGGCTGGAAGGAGACATTCCGTAAACCCTCACTCATCTCCACCCCTAGCCACACAAGCTGAGCAGCTGAACCAAACACCTCTGTGGAAAGCATGTCTAGACACGAAGGAGAAGCTCGGCTACACCGGGGAGTCGTCCGTGCAGGCGGCGCATGGATTTGACCTGGGGGGGTCCCCGACGTCTTTTTTTTTGGGTTTTGTTTCTTCAGCACCCTGCATCATTCCACATCAGAGCCATCTTGGCCAACAGGTCAACAGCTCCTTGAAGCCGCTAACCCACAATCCACCCGAACACCTAACATAAGCCCCTACAGGCTTTATAGGGGCTAGGGTTTATTGTAAAGGTTTAGAAGGCTTGCAAGGTTTATAGGCTTTATACATCAGTCAGTTTTACAGGGTCTATACGGTTTAGGTCGTAAAGCCTCAACTCAATGCCAGGCGGCGTCCTTCGATTGGGCCAAGAAGGCCTGAGAAGGCGCGTGATCCATGAAACCACGGGTTCAAAGGTTTTTCCCCACCTTCGTTGTGGGGTTGTTAGATTTTTAACTCAACTCTTCTCCTCGCCCGGTCTACTTCTCCTCGCCCGGTCTGCTTTTTTCGCCCACCCCAGGGTGCCCAACCCCAGAGTGTCCCCCCTACCCCAGAGTGTCCCTGGAGTGCGCAACCCCGAAGTGTCCCTGGAGTGCCACACCAGAGTGTCCCTGGAGTGCCCAACCCCAGAGTGTCTCTACATAGAGAAGATGTTCGAAGTAAGATAATTTTTGGGGTTAAGGGGCCGCCACGCAAAGCCTGTAGTACCCAAAAGCCCCAAGCCCAAGCCCGAACGAGCCTGAGTTACTATGCCAGACCTTCGGATGCGTTTCGCAGGGATTCGGGGCAGGGCTGTTTGCGGTTGGGACGTTTGCGGCATGAGGTTTAGGATGCAGGCCGTGAACATGGGTGCTCCTCTTGGTGACAATTCTGCATTGAGACATTGAGAGATTGTAGCTTATTCAACACCACTCGCTTTGGGGCTGGTTTGGAGGCCGCTTTCCTGGCTGCCCTGCGGACAGAGGGTAGTTCTGCTAGCTTCCTGCGGAGGAGGCTGGCTACTGCATCTGAGTGCCCGAAACAGACCAGGAGAGTGGACACGGTCCATGATCCCATGTCACAAGACCCAGTTTGTTTCGGGCAGGGCAGCGGGCAAACAGAGTCCCGCTTCCAAAGATTTTCGTGTTGACCGTGTGCTAGCTTTAAAGGGTCTTGGAGACCAAGAACAGGGCTGGTTGTTCTCCAGCGCAGCAAGCGCTCGGCTGAGTACCATTCTTCGAAAGTGTAGCGGCTAGCGCACATCATCCCTGTTCGTTGTGGAGCTTTGCAAAGTTGCCACCCCGCGCAACACAATCCACGTCCAAGAGCGCTCCGCTCGACCCGCTTTTTCCTCCGGCAAGCAGTTGCCAGCATTCCGGGGCAGACCTAAAGGCCCCAATAACCCTAAGCCCTCAGCAACCCTAAGCTAAACCCTCCCACAGGGCTCCAAGAGCACCTGGAACAATGACAGCTCCTGGAGGTGGGCGCAAAAAAGTCGCCAAGAGATCACCCCGGGCGAAGACAGGGGCCCAAGTTGAGTTCTTTTTTTTTTTTAATTTATTATTTTTTGCGGGTTTAGAGGGCAAGACGGGGTAGCTTCCTAAATCAGGGTCTCTTTTGGGGCCACATTTTTTGCAGCGGCGCCCTCATGGACCCTGTAACCGACCCTGTTTTAAAGAACTGCCGATCCTCTCGCCATGGGGTCTGAGGCAAACTGACAGAGCTCTCGGCCGACGACCCCACAAACCCTAAACCCTAAACCCTAAACCCTAAACCCTAAACCCTAAACCCCAAACCCCAAACCCTAAACCCCAAACCCTAAACCCTAAACCCTATACCCTAAACTCTGAACAGCCTTGTGGCTGGTGCTTGTACACAGAATCACGCAGACAGTCATTTTCGGGGTTCAGGGTTTAGGGTGCCTTCTTGCAGGGGGTTTCCCATCCCAAGGATCCCGCTATTTTTTTGGGGGGTACATAAGGGGGGATCCCTGTTTGAGGAAGTGCCATTGAGATCCCCTTTCTGAGGCGGGCCCACCCAAAAAGACCCTCACATCAACCCCCAAATGTTCATGCCGCAGCTCTGCCCAGCCCACGTCTGGCCTCAACTCGCCCCGACGCGAAGCGCTTCGCGCGCGACCATGGCAAACCGGGCAACCAAGCTCTCCTTGGCGGGCGCCGCGGCAGGTGGCCTGGTTCGCAAGCCTTGACGCATAGTCGTTGAGTTGGGCCCTTCAGGGTCTTAAGGCCCCCGAGGCCTAAGCCCTAAGCCCGAAACCCTAAACCCCAAGAAGGTTTCGGTTTCAGGTTCGGAGCTGTCCGAGGCTGCTTCTGGTTTCTTGGCATTGCGGGGCTCCCTTGACTTGGGGTAGGGCGCTCGTGCTGATGAGAATTGTTCTTTATTTTGGCATATGATAGAGTCTGTGTTAATTTTTTGCATGAGCTTACAGCACATGGTAAGCACTATCATAACTATGGTAAGTTAGAGTTGTCAAAACCATAAGACGACGGCAGCTGCTGCCTAAGATTATTGCTATTATGTTATAGGTCATTCTCATTGTTAGATCATTCTACCGGTCATCATACTGTGCCGTACCGTATTGTCCGTTAGAGTATGTATGGTCGGATATCGCATTGTATTGTACTTCATTGTGATTGTTATTGCTACTGTTATTGCCACTGAAGGGGGAACATCCTAAATGAAGCCAATGAAGTCGAACATCTCACGAAGGCAGGAGCGAAGGAAGGAAGGAACGACAGCCCTTGTAACAACAAAGAAGCAATATGGGGGAAGGAAGGAAGGAAGGAAGGAAGAAAGAAAGGCGAAGGAGATGAGCAGCGAAACAGGCAGGCATGCATGCAGGCAGGCAGGCAATACAGCAAGGCAGAGAAGGAAGGCACCAAACACAAGCCGGAAAAAGAGGAGATGCTACGAAAAAACCGCAATCTGAAACAAGCCAAGTCACCCCAAACATCTTAAGAGAACTCTTGCACCCTATGAGGCCCAACCCGCGCGCCCTGAGGCTCTGAACCATTCAACCCTCAACCCTCAACCCTCAACCCTCAACCCTCAACCCTCAACCCTCAACCCTCAACCCTCAACCCTCAACCCTCAACCCTCAACCCTCAACCTTCAACCCCCAACTCCTCAACCCTCAACTCCTCAACCCTAAACCCTAAACCCTAAACCATCGAGCCCGAAGGACCCACAAACCTTTCAGTCCTATCGAGGGGTGAGGCCTGCAGAAGCCTATTGCCGCCCATCTTCGGCTTCAAACACCCCAGAAGGGGTGTAGCGGTTTAGGGTTTCGGGTTTAGGGTTTAGGGTTTAGGGTTTCGGGTTTAGGGTTAAGGGTTTAGGGTTCAGGGTTAAGGGTTTAAGTTTAGGATTTAAGGCGTTTGAGGGTTGGAAGCCCAGGGGGGACACGGTCCTTAGCTCTCCCTGGGTTTGCATGTATGTTTGCATGTCTTTGGTGCCTCTGCGACCCCCCCGGCAACCCTGAACCCTAAACCCTGAACCCTCAACCCTAAACCCTAAACCCTAAACCCTAAACCCTAAACCCTTGCCCCTTTAAAGCAAAAAGGTGGCCTGGCCCTCCTCAACACAGCCTCGGACGCCTTCGTGGCCCCAAGCCACGCCTCTCAGCCGAGCCTCCGCAGCCTTCAGATTTTCCGGGCTTCAGGTTGAGGACCCTAAACCCTAAACCCTAAACCCTAAACCCTAAACCCTAAACCCTAAACCTTAAACCCTAAACCCTAAACCCTAAACCCCCAAGCCTATTAGACCCTGGACCCGAAACGGCCATAAGCCGCCAACAAAGGCTTGGAGTTTCTCCTTGCTCGTGAACGGAAGAACGTCCCTCAAGACAGATGTTTGGAGATGATCCTGATTGTATCACCTTGCGTCGCTCCTTTCATATGAGCTTTTAACCGTTTCCTTCGTTGCTTTTTGTCACGTAAAGAATCCTCCTTCAGCCTTCCTTTCATATGAGCCTTTAAACGTTTCCTTGGTTGCTTTTAGCTTTTTGTCACTTAATGAAACCCTCCTTCAGCCTTGTTTTCTTGGCGCCATCATTGGATACTCTAACTTTAGGGGGGCTCATTCCTCGAAGGTTTGAGGAATGAGCCTCTCCCGACAAAACACCCCCCCCCCCCCTCCCAACACAAGCATCTAAAGCAGTTCCAAAATTCAACGATCAAAATGAGAGCGGCACCCCCCCCCCCCCCATTCCCTCGGGGCCAAAAAGTCCTGGAGTGCTCTGACGTTTAGGAGCCTCCGGGGAACAGCTGCACCGCAGGCGCAGGCGGGCGGCGGGCACCGGGAGTTGTCGGTGGGGACCTTCAACAGCTTCGCACAAGGTTCAGGTTTTCGGCGTTGTAGTGAATTCCTGAGCTCCCTTTACGCCATAGGCAAATTTTGCACCAAGAGCATGAAGCCCCTGGTTTTTCCTCCTAGCCCTCTGCAGCCTGGGATCGCAATGCGGAATCAATGCCCTGAACTTGTAAACTCAAGGCCTAAACCCTAAATGCGGTTTAGGGTTTAGGGTTTAGGTTTAGGGTTTAGGGTTTCAAGACCTCGAAAGAGGCCCAGCAGACCTCCTCCGCACCCTCCGCGCTCTCCGCGCTCGCCGTGGGGGGCGCCGCGGCCGCGGTCGCAGCGGCAGCACGTCCAGGCGCCTAAGTTTAGGGTTTAGGGTTTAGGGGTTTAGGGGTTTAGGGGTTTAGGGGTTTAGGGGTTTAGGTTTAGGGCTTATAAGGTTTTTTTCAAGCGCTTGGCCGTCAGGTCGTCAGAACAGGAGCACCCCACTGCCTACGACAGTGGTGGCCAACAAGGCTCGGAATCTTAGGGTTTAGGGTTTCTTGCACAGGCCCCGGGCCCCTGAGCCTTTCCAAACCTCAGAAACCTCCCCAAACCATCGACTGGCCATTTCTAGGGCTTCAATTGTTTGGCCTTTTGAGTGGGTGTGCATCCAGAATCCGATTGAATTATCCTCACAACTTGCAATGGCCCCAATAAAGCCCAAAACACCCCGAAGAGCGATGCCATTTGCACCGTAGACTGCCCCCAAAGATCTCGAGACCACCCTGTAAGCCAATTGAGGCCGCCCAAGACCGATCCCAACCCCCCCCCCCCTGGATGGCGCATCCCCAAACCCTAAACCCTTGGCCGTAAGCCCTAAACCTAAACCCTCAACCTAAAACCCTAGACCGTAGACCCTAGACCCTAGACCCTAAACCCTAAACCCTAAACCCTAAACCCTAAACCCTAAACCCTAAACCCTAAACCCTAAACCCTAAACCCTAAACCCTAAACCCTAAACCCGAGCCAGGAGAGCAGGGTCGCGCGCCGAGCCCTTGATCAGTCCAGCCGCTATGCCGACCTGTCCCTGGACGAGGCGACCTTGATCAAGCGACCCGGCTGCAGTTTTTTGGGTTGAGGTTTAGGGTTTATAATTCATTGGGGTTTATGTGTTTAGGGTTTGATTCATTGGGGTCTTGAGGTAGCTTGGGTTTAAGTAGGGTTTCATTAGGGTTTAACTAGGGTTTAATTGGGTTTAATTAGTAAGGTTTAATTAGGGTTTAATGAAGGTTTCGGAGGATCCAATTCGAAAGCCTATGCCTTGGGCTCCCGAACTCAGAGTGGAGGGTTACTATAAAGGAGGCTCAGAAGGGTTTTGGGCTTGGGCTTGGGTGCAGGGTGTGGGCTTTGAGGAACGGCAAGCACGTGCTGGTGGCGTACATCATGAAGCCGAAGGCAGGGTACGACTACCTGGCCACCGCCGCCCACTTCGCAGCCGAGTCCTCCACGGGAACCAATGTGAACGTGTGCACCACGGACGACTTCACGAAGTCCGTGGATGCCCTGGTGTACTACATCGACCCCGACAGCGAGGAGATGAAGATCGCCTACCCCAACCTGTTGTTCGACCGCAACATCATCGATGGCCGCGCCATGATGTGCTCCTTCCTGACCCTGTCCATCGGCAACAACCAGGGTTGGGGACTCAGTGTGGGATGCAGACATCTGACAAACTCGTATCTGAGCTTCGGCTTAGGTTGACGGTCGTGCATCTGTAACACGGTAACTTGGGCCGAGGTATGGGTGACGTCGAGTACGGCAAGATCTACGACTTCTACCTGCCCCCTGAGTTCCTCCGCCTGTACGACGGCCCGGCCGTGAACGTGGAGGACATGTGGCGCATCCTGGGCAAGGGCACCAGCAACGGTGGCCTCGTGGTGGGCACCATCATCAAGCCCAAGCTCGGCCTGCAGCCCAAGCCATTCGGCGAGGCCTGCTACGCGTTCTGGCAGGGTGGCGACTTCATCAAGAACGATGAGCCCCAGGGCAACCAGGTGTTCTGCCAGATGAACGAGGTCATCCCAGAGGTTGTGAAGGCCATGAGGGCGTGCATCAAGGAGACCGGCGTGGGCAAGCTCTTCTCTGCCAACATCACCGCGGATGATCCCAACGAGATGATTGCCCGCGGCAAGTACTGTCTGTCCCAGTTCGGTCCTCTGTCCGAGAACTGCGCGTTCTTGGTGGATGGATACGTGGCCGGAGGCACGGCCGTGACCTGCGCCCGCCGCAACTTCCCAGGACAGTTCCTGCACTACCACCGTGCCGGACATGGATCCGTGACCAGCCCCCAGACCCAGCGTGGTTACACCGCCTTCGTGCACACCAAGATCTCCCGAGTCATCGGTGCGTCCGGCATCCACACCGGAACCATGAGCTTCGGCAAGATGGAGGGCGATGCCTCAGACAAGAACATCGCCTTCATGCTGCAGGACGACGCGGCCGATGGCCCCTACTACCACCAGCCATGGGAGGGCATGAAGCAGACCACTCCCATCATCTCCGGCGGCATGAACGCCCTGCGCCTGCCGGCCTTCTTCGAGAACCTTGGACACTCCAACGTGATCCTGACCGCCGGCGGTGGCTCTTTCGGCCACAAGGATGGCCCCAAGCCGGGCGCCGTCTCCTGCCGACAGGGTGAGGAGGCCTGGAAGGCCTGGAAGTCCGGACAGTACGGCAACATCAGCCTGAGCGATGGCGTGATCGAGTTCGCCAAGACCCACGAGGAGATCAAGGGTGCCTTCCTCACCTTCCAGAAGGATGCGGACCAGATCTACCCTGGCTGGAAGGAGAAGCTCGGCTACACCGGCGAGTCGTCCGTGCAGGCGGCCAGCTTCGACTGGGCCAAGAAGGCCTCCGCCGCCGCCTTCGTGGGTGCCAGCGTGGCCCCTGCCAAGAAGGAGAGCAGCATCTCGCGCAAGGCCCTTGATCAGTCCAGCCGCTATGCGGACCTGTCCCTGGATGAGGCGACTCTCATCAAGAGACCCAGCTGCAGGAACTGTCCAGGCATGTTAGGTAGGTAGGTATGTTTAATTAAGGAGGCTCTGCTATCTGGTCTGTAGCGGAGGTGCGAAGGCCATGCTGATCAGTGAGATGAGTCATTGGGGTGCAATGTGTACTTAGGAACGGCAAGCACGTGCTGGTGGCGTACATCATGAAGCCGAAGGCAGGGTACGACTACCTGGCCACCGCCGCCCACTTCGCAGCCGAGTCCTCCACGGGAACCAACGTGAACGTGTGCACCACGGACGACTTCACGAAGTCCGTGGATGCCCTGGTGTACTACATCGACCCCGACAGCGAGGAGATGAAGATCGCCTACCCCAACCTGTTGTTCGACCGCAACATCATCGATGGCCGCGCCATGATGTGCTCCTTCCTGACCCTGTCCATCGGCAACAACCAGGGTTGGGGACTCAGTGTGGGATGCAGACATCTGACAAACTCTTATCTGAGCTTCGGCTTAGGTTGACGGTCGTGCATGTGTAACACGGTAACTTGGGCCGAGGTATGGGTGACGTCGAGTACGGTAAGATCTACGACTTCTACCTGCCCCCTGAGTTCCTCCGCCTGTACGACGGCCCGGCCGTGAACGTGGAGGACATGTGGCGCATCCTGGGCAAGGGCACCAGCAACGGTGGCCTTGTGGTGGGCACCATCATCAAGCCCAAGCTCGGCCTGCAGCCCAAGCCATTCGGCGAGGCCTGCTACGCGTTCTGGCAGGGCGGCGACTTCATCAAGAACGATGAGCCCCAGGGCAACCAGGTGTTCTGCCAGATGAACGAGGTCATCCCAGAGGTTGTGAAGGCCATGAGGGCGTGCATCAAGGAGACCGGCGTGGGCAAGCTCTTCTCTGCCAACATCACCGCGGATGATCCCAACGAGATGATTGCCCGCGGCAAGTACTGTCTGTCCCAGTTCGGTCCTCTGTCCGAGAACTGCGCGTTCTTGGTGGATGGATACGTGGCTGGAGGCACGGCCGTGACCTGCGCCCGCCGCAACTTCCCAGGACAGTTCCTGCACTACCACCGTGCCGGACATGGATCCGTGACCAGCCCCCAGACCCAGCGTGGTTACACCGCCTTCGTGCACACCAAGATCTCCCGAGTCATCGGTGCGTCCGGCATCCACACCGGAACCATGAGCTTCGGCAAGATGGAGGGCGATGCCTCGGACAAGAACATCGCCTTCATGCTGCAGGACGACGCGGCTGATGGCCCCTACTACCACCAGCCGTGGGAGGGCATGAAGCAGACCACTCCCATCATCTCCGGCGGCATGAACGCCCTGCGCCTGCCGGCCTTCTTCGAGAACCTGGGACATTCCAACGTGATCCTGACCGCCGGCGGTGGCTCTTTCGGCCACAAGGATGGCCCCAAGCCGGGCGCCGTCTCCTGCCGCCAGGGTGAGGAGGCCTGGAAGGCCTGGAAGTCCGGACAGTACGGCAACATCAGCCTGAGCGATGGCGTGATCGAGTTCGCCAAGACCCACGAGGAGATCAAGGGTGCCTTCCTCACCTTCCAGAAGGATGCGGACCAGATCTACCCGGGCTGGAAGGAGAAGCTCGGCTACACCGGCGAGTCGTCCGTGCAGGCGGCCAGCTTCGACTGGGCCAAGAAGGCCTCCGCCGCCGCCTTCGTGGGTGCCAGCGTGGCCCCTGCCAAGAAGGAGAGCAGCATCTCGCGCAAGGCCCTGGACCAGTCCAGCCGCTATGCGGACCTGTCGTTGGACGAGGCGACCCTCATCAAGAGACCCAGCTGCAGTCAAGATATGTCAAACTGCATGAAGTGCAGCATGTGGCAACATGTAAAGTCGATCTCGAGCCTGTCCTTTCTAGCGCTGTGCATCGCTGTGCCAATTCGGTAGGCAGGTTTTGCTATTGCTGCATTTGTGCGAGAGCTGCGACAAGGAATGGCAAGCACGTGCTGGTGGCGTACATCATGAAGCCGAAGGCCGGGTACGACTACCTGGCCACCGCCGCCCACTTCGCCGCCGAGTCCTCCACGGGCACCAACGTGAACGTGTGCACCACGGACGACTTCACGAAGTCCGTGGATGCCCTGGTGTACTACATCGACCCCGACAGCGAGGAGATGAAGATCGCCTACCCCAACCTGTTGTTCGACCGCAACATCATCGATGGCCGCGCCATGATGTGCTCCTTCCTGACCTTGTCCATCGGCAACAACCAGGGTTGGGGGCTCAGCTTGAGATGCGAACGTCTGGAATCGCAGCTAGCTTTCTGTTGGGAGTTGGTTTGTGTTCATTGCAGTACCTGCGCAGCTGAAGCTGAGGTATGGGTGACGTCGAGTACGGCAAGATCTACGACTTCTACCTGCCCCCTGAGTTCCTCCGCCTGTACGATGGCCCGGCCGTGAACGTGGAGGACATGTGGCGCATCCTGGGCAAGGGCACCAGCAACGGTGGCCTCGTGGTGGGCACCATCATCAAGCCCAAGCTCGGCCTGCAGCCCAAGCCATTCGGCGAGGCCTGCTACGCGTTCTGGCAGGGCGGCGACTTCATCAAGAACGATGAGCCCCAGGGCAACCAGGTGTTCTGCCAGATGAACGAGGTCATCCCAGAGGTTGTGAAGGCCATGAGGGCCTGCATCAAGGAGACCGGCGTGGGCAAGCTCTTCTCTGCCAACATCACCGCGGATGATCCCAACGAGATGATTGCCCGCGGCAAGTACTGTCTGTCCCAGTTCGGACCTCTGTCCGAGAACTGCGCGTTCTTGGTGGACGGCTACGTGGCTGGAGGCACGGCCGTGACCTGCGCCCGCCGCAACTTCCCAGGACAGTTCCTGCACTACCACCGTGCCGGACATGGATCCGTGACCAGCCCCCAGACCCAGCGTGGTTACACCGCCTTCGTGCACACCAAGATCTCCCGAGTCATCGGTGCGTCCGGCATCCACACCGGAACCATGAGCTTCGGCAAGATGGAGGGCGATGCCTCGGACAAGAACATCGCCTTCATGCTGCAGGACGACGCGGCCGATGGCCCCTACTACCACCAGCCTTGGGAGGGCATGAAGCAGACGACTCCCATCATCTCCGGCGGCATGAACGCCCTGCGCCTGCCGGCCTTCTTCGAGAACCTGGGACATTCCAACGTGATCCTGACCGCCGGCGGTGGCTCTTTCGGCCACAAGGATGGCCCCAAGCCGGGCGCCGTCTCCTGCCGCCAGGGTGAGGAGGCCTGGAAGGCCTGGAAGTCCGGACAGTACGGCAACATCAGCCTGAGCGATGGCGTGATCGAGTTCGCCAAGACCCACGAGGAGATCAAGGGTGCCTTCCTCACCTTCCAGAAGGATGCGGACCAGATCTACCCCGGCTGGAAGGAGAAGCTCGGCTACACCGGCGAGTCGTCCGTGCAGGCGGCCAGCTTCGACTGGGCCAAGAAGGCATAGAGCACAAGGCCGGGATCCTGACTTCTGGGCACCTACAGCCCGCTGTGGGCCCTAAACCCCTAAACCACGAAATTTCCCCAAATTCCCCCGAATTCCCTGAACCCTGATTCCTAAACCCTAGACCCCCTAAACCCCCAAATCCCTAAATTTCCTGAACCTTGATCCCTAAACCCTGATCCCCCCCAAAGCCCAAGCCCGAAACTAGACCACCTCAATCTCCGAACTGAGGCGGCCGGTCGTGGCTCTCCGAAGGAGGCAGGTGCCCGAAATGATACTGTTTAGGGTTTAGGGTTTAGGGTTTAGGGTTTAGGGTATAGAAGTCTATTTCATGTTTAAGGCAAGTCGGAGTGGTAGAAAGTCAAGGGGTTGGGGTTGGGGCTTTGATTAAATTCTGTTTTCTATTGTGCCTTGGGCTCCTGCTTCAGATGCGCGCGCCGAATTTTCCCCATTTCTCAGCGCACGCCGGGGCGGAGAGTGAACAGTGAAGCCCCTGCGTGTGGAATCCGTGCAGTTTTGAAGCGTTCCGTCCTTCCCTAAGAAGGACGGCGCGTCTACTTTCCTGTAGGCCCGAGCACCCGAATCCCCAAACCTTAACTGCCCCTCATAAACCCGAAAAAGTTTTGTGAAGGCGGCGTCTTGATGACGCCCCAGTCCTGTCCCAAAGTCTCCACGGGCCCCCGAAGCCAGATATCCCCAGGACCTGAAAACACCGAGGCTCCGAGGAAGTACTTGGGACGTTGGCGACACGCTCTCCTGGCAGTATAGCCGTATAGCCTTTTCCTCCGGTAGCGATGCTCGTTGCCACGTCGCGTGCCAGCACTTGTCGCCCAGTGGATCAGGGATTACGCAGGGTTTGGGTTTCTTGGGTTTGCAAGTTTAGGGCTGAGGTGCGCATGTCACAGCAAGCAAGCTCGCGTGATGCCGCAGGTGAGTCTGTTCACATCAGACTGTGGCGGAAGTAGGGTTTGGGGGCCCTGAGCCCCAGCTCCCTGAAACCATCGAACACCGAATCCCCAAACTTCGTGGGAATATCAAGTAGCCCCTGATGCTCGGGTGTGGGCTACTATTTGCTTAAGAACCCCAAAGAAAAAAGAATCATCCCTATATTACCCTAAACCCTAAACCCTAAACCCTAAACCCCAAACCCACAACCCTAAACGCAGTAGTGGGAACCTCATGAGACGTCTGCCTGATCTCCGGCCTCAAGCCTGCTGGCGGGCGGCCTTTCTTCGGATCTCGTTCCAGCCTAGCAGGCGCCACAAAAAGCTGCAGTGCCCTGCGCTCCTAGGCTTCAGGGCACATAACGGTGGGGTTGGGGGTTGCTTTTGTGATGCTTGCATATAGGGATCATGAGTGCGTGAGCGGAGGTAATTGTTTCGGCCGCGGCATTGACGGATTTGTGGCGGTTTCCGGCTGAGACGGCTTAGGAGGGCTTGTAGGATCAAGGCGCTGCCAACTTTTTTTTCTGGTTTAGGCCCATCGGGAAAATTCGCTTTAAGTGGCACCTGGCACGCCTGAAAGGCACCCAGAGCAACCTCAGCCCAGCCAACACCTTGCAAACCACCTCCGGAACAATCAATAGGTTTAGGGTTTAGGGTTTGGTTGGGGTTTAGGGTTTAGGGTTTAGGGTTTAGGGTTTAGGGTTTAGGGTTTAGGGTTTAGGGTGTGCATGGTGGACAGACCCGGTGCTTGGGGGGCCTCTGCCAAGCTGGCAAAAGCCCAAAGCCCTGAACCCCTCCTGAAAGCGCTCCGGAGAAGCCTGAGCAGCAGAAATGGCATGAGGCGCTCCGCAGCAATTTTTGGTGGCCCAAAGAAGCAGACGCGATCTGCCCTCGACACCGCCTCTGGGATGCTGTTGGAAGCTGGATTTCTCTGCCTGTGGCCACCCTACAACTTCTTTCGTAAGCCCTTTCAAACCCGATACACCTTGTAAGCCCTACAAACCGCACAGACCCTGTAAAGCCGTAAACCCCATAAACCCTGTAAACCCTGTAAGCCCGAAAAGCCCTCTAGCCCCTACGAGCCCTATAGGTCTGCAAACCCAAGACGAACGCCGAGCAGAAGAAGCAGCTAAGAAGCAGAAGCATAAAAAAAGAGAGGCGACCAGGTCGGGATGATTAGCAGCCACAAGCACACCGCCGTCACCGAACATGCGTGGTTTCTCACGTTCACCGACTCTTTCAGAGGAGACGAAGAGACACAGAGAGAGCGAGAGACATCGGCCGGCGCGGGCGGGGCCACCCCTAGGGGCGGCCTCGTTGCTGCGTAGCAGAAGAAGAAGAAGTGACATCGGAAATGAGCAACAGGAAGAATCAACGCTGTTCGACGGGCAAGTTTGCATTTTTTCAGCTCCTCGGCCAGCCCTACAGGCCACAAAAACCCAAAACGTTTACACCTACGCAGGTTCTTTCTTCAAGCACCCTAACAAAGGGCAACTTTGCGGGCAACCCCCTAAACCCTAAACCCTAAACCCTAAACCCTAAACCCTAAACCCTAAACCCTAAACCCTAAACCCTAAACCCTAAACCCTAAACCCTAAACCCTAAACCCTAAACCCTAAACCCTAAACCCTAAACCCTAAACCCTAAACCCTAAAGCCTAAAGCCTAAAGCCTAAAGCCTAAAGCCCAAAGCCTAAAGCCTAAAGCCTAAAGCCTAAACCCTAAACCCCCTTTCCGATCCGGCTGAAGGATGGCGCAACGCTCATCGAAGATGGCCTTGGCTGGAGCAGCTGCAGGCGGCTCGAACATCCTAGGGTTTAGGGTTTAGGGTTTGGGGTTTAGGGTCTAGGGTCTAGGGTCTAGGGTTTAGGGTTTAGGGTTACCCTTTTTCTGTCACTGCTGCAACGCACTCTTTCTTTCAGGTTTAATTCCAGCATATTACGCAATCCTTGAACCTGAATCGCAAGCACAAGAAAGCCAAGCCATAATTATGACATCACGAAGCTGCCGTTTATATGAACTGCAGTATATGATGGTAGGCTTATACCAGTTCGTATCCAAAAAGCCTAAGCCGAAGGGCATTGAAAGCTAAACCTTCCCAGTGCCTTCGAGGTTCGTTCAACAACCAAAAGCCCCCTAACAAATCCCTAAACCCTAAACCCTAAACCCTAAACCCTAAACCCTAAACCCTAAACCCTAAACCCTAAACCCTAAACCCTAAACCCTAAACCCTAAACCCTAAACCCTAAACCCTAAACCCTAACTTTAAGCCCCAACGAAGCTCCGAACTTCCAGGGCTTCCCTTCAAACAGCCCGAGCTCTGGACCTCCGGCTCCAACCCCAACACTCCCAACACCAAAAACTCCGAACTCCAAGGCCCAAGCGGTTTAGGTTTCAGGGTTTAGGGTTTAGGGTTTAGGGTGTAGGGTTTAGGGTTGCACGAAAAACCCAAGCCCTAGACCCAAAATCTGGGGTCCCTAGATCCCAGAACCCCTCAAACCCCGAACCTCAAAACCCCCAAAGACCAGATCTCTAAGCCCTAAACCCTAAACCCTAAACCCTAAACCCTAACGTTTTCAGAACAAGGCGGCGTGGCGCTTCTCAACAGCGCCTCAGCCTTCGTGTCCGCGCCGGCCACGGCGCAGCCGGCGCTGAGGGGGACCCCTGCAGCCCAGGCGCAGGCAGGGTTTAGGGTTTAGGGTTTAGGTTAGGGTCTAGGGTTAATGAAAGGACTCCAGGGGTTCTACGAACTGCTGAGGTCCAAGGTTTCGCAGGGGGTTAGGCATCAGAGGGGTAGATGTGTCAGAAGGTAAACTGCGGAGCCCCCAGATGAACCCTGCCAATCCCTCTGATTGAGGGTTTAGGGTTTAGGGTTTCGCGGCCAGAGGTCCCCCTCAAGCCCTGTGCCCCGAAACTCTATAACCCTAAACCCCGAAACCCCCAAACCCTAAACCCTAAACCCCCAACCCTGAACCCTAAACCCCAAACCCCAAACCCTAAACCCTAAACCCCAAACCCTAAACCCCAAACCCTAAACCCGAAACCCTAAACCCCAAACCCTAAACCCTAAACCCCAAACCCTAAACCCCACACCCCCGAAACCGCGAAACTCTGAGGCCCAGACTGCCAGCACCGGGTCGTCGATGTCGACGCTGGCCGCGCGGGCGTTCATGTTTGGGGTTTGGGGTTTTGGGTTTGGGGTTTAGGGTTTAGGGTTTCGGGTTTAGGGTTTAGGGTTTAGGGTTAGGGGTTTGGGGTTTAGGGTTTAGGGTTAGGGTTTTGGGTTTAGGGTTTTAGGGTTCAGTGTTTCAGGTGCATAGGGTGAGTTCTCTAGATAAAGGTTTAGGGTTTAGGGTTTGACTAGGGGTAGTTCTCCAGATTGTGGTCTCTCTTGTTGGGTACCCTAAAATAGTCGTGACCGTCTCATAAGAAGGAGCCCAACAGGAACCGCAACTTAGAGAAGTGAGCACATCTCTT